AAATTATAAAGGTCAACCTCTGATAAAGAAAGAAGGATAGGTCACTCCTGCCCGCAAACCATTAACTCTCAGAGTCAGCAAATATCCTCTATTAACAATGATGGAGCTTAGAAATGTTTCACTTCTATTTAAAATAAATGTCGATGAGGTTTCTTGTCCTGGTGATGAAACATCCGAGGAGAAAAGACAAAGCTCAAAAAATACCAAACAACTATCATCCTTACCCTGAGCTACAAATCTTCTCTACCACCTCAAATATATACTGTATAATAGCCAGGTTATGATTAATTTACATCACAGATATTAGAACATTGGATGAAATGTCCTGAGAGATAATGTATTACCATAGTAGTACGACCTCTGCTATTGCAAGTTGGATAAGTGCAGATAACCGCATGACTTTATCTCGATGGTTAGCGTGATGGGGGTGTCACAGGATTGAGGACATGGAACAAGTTGAATAGAAATTTATCATCCAGTTTCATGTGGCACTGAAAAGAGCACATAAGTCTACCTGCGTAAAAAGCCTAACAGCCTTTCGTATTTTGATAAACATCATTCCGAACATATGGCACTAAGTGATTGTAAACACCAATAAAAACGAGAAAGGATCGCAAAATGTAATGACCATTGGTCTAGAAGACGATTTTTGGCAAGAGAGGAGACTACTCTGTCTTGATCTGCTGGCTTCTTATGAAATATACATACTATTTGTTTTGCAATAAAATTTCGAAAGCTAGACAGTTATCTATCTTTCTGATGCTGATAGCGCTTCTGAGGTTCTCCCTTTGAGACGTCTTCTTCACTACCGGCTCACCAACAATCTCGGTGTCCTTTATTTGCAGGAATGTTCCGTTGTGTTTGTATACTGCTGCTGCGGTGAGAAAAGTGAAACTACACCGACACTGAGATTACATTCCACCCGTATGCCGCAAAAAGCTCAGGCGACCGTCGCATCTGTACCACTCCATCGAGGGTCCCCCGTCGCTGGGGGTGATTCATGATGCAGTGGAATCAGTCAAAAGCTTACGTGCACTAAGAGCGCGAAATGAATACTGAAAAGTCTTTAGAACTAGGTCCAAGGTTTACAGCGTAACATCACCTCTAAATAAACGCCTTCGAACATCATGAGATGTTCCGTACTTGCTTCGTAACGAGGTGGTCTACAAGAACCCCGTTATGATTAGTGTACTATTAAGTGACTGGTTTAAGAACTTCAGTTGTAAGACGTGCGCCCCCATCAGTGGCAAACTACTCTCCAGTAGCCATTTTGTGGTTGTGGGATTCGCTCACAAAAATATAGTTGAAGCCATTAAAATCCTAAGACCTACCAAGGGAAAAGGAATACACTGCTTCTATTCAGTAGCCCTGAGAAACAGTGGAGGGAACATTTCCTTGATTTTGATTAAGTTGTTCACTCCTCTGATGGAAACTGGAACGTATACAACAGAGTGAAAAACTAGCTTTGTGATTCCACACTTCAAATCTGGGACAAGGCTAGCGTCAGCAACTACAGATCCCTCAATATAACCCCGGCTTATCGCAAATTATGGAAAAAGTTGTAAAAGACAGTATGTATGAATACCTGCTCGGAGGAGATTTTATAACAAAGTCTCAGCATGCCTTTCTGAAAAATAGATCATGCATTACCTGTCACTTCGACTTCTTCAAACTCATTACCAGTAGTCGTTGGGTACGCAAAATAGTCCTTGTTCCGTACTTCAATATATCGACGGCATTTGATATGGCTTCGCATAATATACTATTCGAAAGGTTAAAAGCATTGGGTATTGGCAACCTTCTACTAAGCTGGATAAAATCATTTCTCAGTGATCGCACCCAAATAATAAACATCAGTTCAGTTCTGCCTACTCCGAGATACATCACAAGTGGAGTTGTGCACGACAGCGTTCTTGTGCCTCTTTTATTGATCATCTACATCAACAGTGTTCGCAACCGCTTTGCCACAGGTGACGGTTTTCTGAATGCCGATGACCTGAAAGTCTTTTACTCTTGTTATAGCCATGGGGTAGGTGGCATTTAGACTGCTTTTCGACATGAACTAGAAAAGGTTTCTTCTTGGTGTGCTGATACCATTCTACAGTTAAACATCAACAACTGTGGATGAATCTGCATTGGTAACAGTCACCTTGACCTGGTATTTGAAGTATATGAACAACTGTTACCGAGACTTAGTTCTCTCTCAGACCCAGGACTCAGATATTTCAGTGACTTGGATTTCTCTGAGCAGGCAGCGTATAGCGAAACTAAGTCCAGCAAACTCCTGGGATGCATCATTGGTAACCTTTATAGTACTGAATCAAGGGTCCTTCTTTACAAAGAATGCATCCGTCCAGTTCTAGAATACTGCTCATTTGTCATAAGCAGCTTTCGAATAGATGATATACCAAAAATCGAAGGGGTACAACGCCACTTTATATTAAGAACACTAGGAGCTGACTGCAGCCTTGACTACATCTCCAGATGCAACATACTAGGACTAGAACCTCTCTGGAAGAGGCGACTTGGAATGAATCCCATAATTTACTATAAACTACTTTGTAAGTAAATGCACTCATGCGGTCCAGGAATTAAAATAGTTGTAACACCTACTTACGGTATACGTAATCACAAACTATTGGCTGAAACTGAGTGTTGTGAGACCAGTGCGCGAGCAATTTCTAACCCAGTAAGTTCTCTTACATGTGGAATAGACTTCGTGAGGAAATGCGAGCGGCGAGTTCATTACCTGTCTTTTGCTCCTCACCTAATAAGCTCCTCACAACTGATGGGCCTGCCACTTGCTTAGTCATTATCTATACGGCTAATGAAAACATACTGGGCCTTCTAAACATTTAAAGTAAGGCTGATCTTGGGCACTTTTGGTCCCAGGCTCAAACATATTAATGCAGGGCGTTTGTTTGCCATTTTGCCAGCTAAGGTTGTGTAGTAATTAGAGTACACGTTAGGAAAGTACGTGTCATGGATATTATCTAAGATAATCCTAACATTAGCAATGTCATTTTGGGTTTCCTCGAGTCTTGTATCCATTCCTGAGGCAGTGTCCAGGGCTCTGATGATTGGTGTGCGGAAAATAATTTCTCCCGAATCTACAATTTAGGTTGGGGCATCTACCTCATTGGACTTATAGACGGATCACGAAGCACTCGTTCTCGAATCTCTACTGGAACTGTCTGTTTTCGAGTGCTTGGCTTTATTTCTTCCCATAGTTAAGGTGTGGATTTGGTCCGTTCCCAGTTGCATCAGCGAGAGGTTATTTACTAAAAAAGCTTAACGAACACGCTAACCAAACACGATATACGTATCCGATACTACTTTTCAAATAGTAATAGATATCACACTACACGGATAAATGGATTCAGAACAAACGACAGAATGCAATACACCTTCGAACATCCCTCTGTTGTTATCCGTCGCCATTCACACTCTCATATCCAATTCACTGCTATACCTGAACTATGTGAAGTGTTGTAACAGGATGAGGAAGCTAATGAACATTATCTGACGTAGAATAGACTTGAAAGAGGACGATAGAGAAATTACCTCCAATTGCAAGCCCAAACTAATGCTGGCGAATGACAACACTAGAATTGGCTTTTACTCGATAAGAGGGACTACACCGTCTCGAAACAGGGCAGAGCAAGACGAGGATTGTATCTCACAGGTTCTCCAAATGTTTCTGCCTACTGCCTATCTTCGAAACATGAAGGACACAGCAGATGTGTCTTCTTATCAAGAATGTTTAGATGGATAAATCTAGGACTGTGTAAAGTGGATCACAGTATTTTTATGAGTCATCGGTTACAGACGAGCTGAACTTTCATGTCAGGGCGTCTTGAGGAAGGGGTTGCTCCTCTCGAAACATTTGAAGGGTTATAGGATCACGGCAGAAACCAATATGAAGCCCGCCTGAATGCTCCGTAACTTCAGCCTGTACAGTGTGACAGAAGCTGGAGGCCTACAATCCCGATTATCCATGACACCTATGATTCCAATTTTAGGATTCGTCCTGGTGCGAACTTGACAGACGCAAAGACCAATCACCAATTATTCGGACTTGTTATATACCCACGAATACAAGACCAAGGAAGAACACGATAGCGTAGTCGGATGGAATAGTATATTTGGATGGTTGTGCCAAACTACCGATGCATACAAACTAACTGGCTAGAGAGCCGAATACAAGCAGTGCAACGTGACATGACAGCGTGCCGAATGACGAGGATGCTTGACCGGGTGCCTTCAGGTTAGCGAGTCCAGTTAAATTATCAAGGTCAGCATCAATGTCGAAAGTCGTCAAACCCTAGGCTATTGATTTTGGGGAAATGTGTGACGCTACACAGACACTCTAGCAGAGAATTGGTCAAATTCAACTTAAAATCTCTTCTGAGGAGCCATCGTTTCAACCTAAGAGAACAGGGAACTCATACGAACATTCGTACGCACGTTTTCCGGGTAAGAATCTGCAATGTATGGAATTGGCTTCCTGATGAGGCATTGGTAGCTCCATCCACACATGCTTACAAACCAAGGTTGGACGTTCATAGTTGGACGTAAGGGACTGCTGGGCGCTCCAGCCACATGCTTTCTGCACTGGGCGATTAGCTGTGAACCTGTAGTAATAGTCTCTGTAGTTGGTTTTGGAAATTGTCGAGAAGATAACGAAAAAGTCCTACATTCGAAGCCTGTTTGTCATATCGCAGATGCAGAAGTCAAGCTTCTTTCAGTTCGCTACTTCTTTAGGAGCAGCATATAATTTTAAAGCCTGAGATCTCATTCGATAACTGGTTGTTTAATACGCGCCTGAACACTGTCTCAAGAGAACTGTAGTAGCAATAGAGAAACTTGTCATATTTATAGAGCTGTTCGATTAGAAAGGTTAAAATCTAAGGATTTGAGAGACAACGCTTAAATTTCCAGTCATCAGAGGTTGAATGCTGATTGTTTATATGTTTCGTAAATTGGTGAAAATCCATAGGCGCGATAAACGTCGGGGGGTATTTGTTTTGGCGTTCATGGAAACGCATGATTTACCTAGCTGTTTTTGTGTAAACCTCTTAGTAAGACTCGAAGTTTTACAAGTTCAGATATCAGTTCAACTTAAATTCATTTAAATGATGTTAGAGGAAATGATAAACTTCAATTGCGACGAGTTCAAAGTTGATGATTTGGAAATCGACCATGAAGATAAGATCCTCAAACAAGAGGTAAAGCTATGTAGCACATCCTACATTTTTCACAGCTTAATCAGCTTATATCTGAACAGTTGGGTGACTTTGACTTGAGTGATGAAGAAGATCAACCAGAGGAAATTCGTATGGTCCATTGTTCATCAGACTTTGCCGAGGGTGAGACTGTTCCAATCAACCCGGACGATGTAGTGAGCATCTTAGAGACTGAGAAACTGTCGTTGTTAGAGGGTGCTATTCAAAGGTTTGGAGAAGTAAGCTTCTGTCTTTTGAATGTTCGTAACATTGATCAGTACTTAATTCATGGGATCATCTCACCTATTGAATTGCACGACATTTTGTGAAATTTGTTTAGAGACTGCCATAGACGTAGGACAGACGCATTTGGAACATTAAATGAATTCTTCTTTGTTTGCATATACCGGTACATTCTGTGCGTAATGGCCTAATTGATGGGGTATTTAGTCGTTCTTCGGTCGCCAATACAGCCATCTAACGGACTCATATAGCTCGAATACCGTACTATATCACTTAATTTTAGGCTTTTGAATGGAAATCCCTTTTGTTTTAGCATGAGCTGTGCCCAGTGAATTTGATGGGTTGTACCTTTAATTGACATATTAATAATGCAATTCTCCTCGACCCGGCCATTTATGTACTTCATACTCTGATTAAGTACTGTTCGCTTGCCTCCTTTACGCACCACTTCCGACTGCCTGGAACACGTTTTAAAAATGCACAAAGTGCCAACTTTTAGACAATGCGTGGCGTAGTGATAAATTCAGTAAATACCAGGCATTTTTTTAACATGTTAAAACTGCTTCCTCTTCGGTCGAACTAAGAGGAGGAGTTTACTTTTTACTTAGTCGCCACTCACTGCTAGCTGTTATGCTGTAGTAGGTAGTAGCGTCATAAGACCCGGTTCGATCTCTTAATGGTCCAATTTTTTACACTACATCGCAGCACAATGCAAAAGCCTAAACTATGGAAAGGAGATGAATGGGAATAATAGTGCTTTTAGCCACTGATGAAAAGCTTGTAGAGGAAATGGGAGATATATGTTAGGCTAAGAATTCATGCAGCTCAACGTGATTGGATCTGCGCCACTACAATGTTTTGTTGTATCTCTTTGTTTCTAGCCATTGATTTCGTCTGTTTAGAAGTCGATAGACATACACTTAATATCTGCTTGTTGTCAGCAAGACAATGGAAATTAACGGCATATGTTAAGCTTATTGATACAATTCAGATCAGAAATTATACTCTCCATGGTTTGTTGATACAAATATTCCAAGGGCTGACAGTTAACATTCCTAAGGATGAACGTATCGACCACAATTCTAGAGACACATGCTTGATGACCGTCACATGCTGCCTGTTGAGAAGCTTTTTGTTTTGATTTTATTGTTCTGGGTCGGTTGTTGCAATAAAACACCTACCGTAGATACCGAAAGTTAGTGGGGTACGAAATGTGCTACGTTCTCGATTTGCCTTTTCCAAATCTTCCTTTCGATAGTGTAGAGCAGCATTATCATGACATGCTGATAGTCCATAGAATCCAGTTTACATAAGTGTCACTCCGATAGTGAATTCAGGTAGAGTTTTTTTTCCGAAACCCTCTACTGTGTGAGTTACTTGCGCCATATTGGGAACTGCTCTTAATCGTATCAGTATTCAGGAGACCTTTCTTCTTTCTTAAGAACTCAAAAAAATATCGTTTGAACTAGCAAAGGCTGCTGGATTATTTCAGTTTGCAAAAACGACTATCACGTCAAACTATCACCTTATGTTCGTAGCTCCAACATCATCACAGGTGTTCAGGTAGGACGCCTCCAGAGGTATGGTTTAGTGTCTAAGTGCTTGTCGTTGAGATACTATGACTAGACCTCTATCAACGGAATCAGGCACCTACTTTATGCCGATATACATGACCATTGTTGGGCCTCAATGTTTCCATGGACAGGTATTTGTGAAAATGTTGATTCAATCAATAAACCTACAATCAAGTCTGAATCGTCGGCGTAATATCTGTGGTTCTCCATTCGTCAGCTCCATCTAAATACCAGGTAGTCGTTTCAAGATTCTTGAATTTGTGTTTCAGGATAATTCTTCATGAGGATTTGTCTATTCCTATGGATCTAAACTATCGACAATGGAGGCTAACTAAAGGAAACTATTTAAATCCTATATTTCAGTCAGTTTAACTAACAATTCGTGGCCACTCCGGTTTCCCTCTTGCCATAGGAGTGCGAAAGCGTAATAAATACTAAGGCAGATTGGACTAAATTACATCTGATTCCTATCCTCAATATACACCTTCAACACATGGAATTCCTATCTTTGAGTACTGTTGGGTGTAAAATATAGTGAACAGTGTGACTCAGAAATCATGTGGACTTCTATGAATCACAGATTGAGCCACTCCTATTGTATGATGGCTAATTATGCTACCTGGCTATCCAAACTTCTGTATATAAAGAAGGGTTGTGACTGATTACTCACTGGCTGGAATCAGTGAGCCACTACAGTTTCATGTTTTAAGTTTTGACAGTTTTAATGTGTGTTGTAGTTGTTCTCTATATCCTAGTAGTACATTGTGTCTGTTTCTATTCCACTAGTGTTCGGAAAATGCAACCACTGGTTCGAAAGATTTAACAAGTCCAGTATGTGATGGTTTAGATTCATGTAATCGTCATAAATTGTCGAAGTCATCGGGTCAGTACAATAAAGACCCTCAAATCATTCAACGACCTGACAATTCCAGCAGCGAGTCTGATAGATATGAAAATCGTACCAATGATCACTCGGTCTCAGAAACTACTATGTGTGGTAGTATCCAACACTCCTGTCTTCCCTCTTTTGTCGATTGTCTATCACAGAACAAGGCTTCAACCAAGTAAGACAACTCAATACAGAAATGGTTGGGTTCATTTAGCGACCATTACTTTGTGTGAATAAAGTAAAATTTGTGATTACTTTTTGCCTTAGAGCTCCTGGTACTCATCCGAGCATCAATTGGGATTTAAGTCTTCCCGGTGAAGTGGAGGACGGATTATACAAGGTTGCACAGAATGAAAACATGTGTATGACACAAGGTGAGTTTTAGGTCACAATTATTGTTTTTAAAATCAGTTAATAATTTCCCAGTCCATGCTGGGGTAATATTTTTGGTGATGGGGTTAAGACTTTTTACATAGTGTCGGCCGTTTGTTGGTGGTGGGTTGCACTTTTATCGTCTGAAAAATGACCTGTCATACATTTTTGTGTGACTACCACTATGATCAGCCAGTCAGTATCAATGAAGGAGCTGAAATTACTGCGCAGTAGTTGAAGTTACCACGCATTACATGAGCACATCAAGATGAAGCATAAAAGGGCGAAAGACAAATCAGAAATGTAATCAGAAGTCAAAAGTTGTAAAAAGAGATGAAGGGCGAACAAAGTTGAAAACGAAGCATGATACAATGATTGGAGCGAAAGTGATGCTGGAATGCATGTGCTTCGTGTCACCTGCAGCCTCCAGATATATATGTATCATATCGTATGTATCATGGAAATTATCCTGGAGGTCTGTATTTTTTTTTACCTGGTTAAGACCAACTTAAAGATTTTATGGAATAATGACATGTTTTGTTCTGGACACCGTTATCCTTTTCGCAGCCTAAACCTACTTCAGGTGACAGTAGGCATGGGAGTAGACGTTTGCTGGGTATGCGTAATACACAATCCAGTCGTCTGATCGATGATGGTTCAGGACGTCATCAACTGACTTATTTATTCTGCCTAACACTCTTCGTATGACTTCTACATTACTGACACGGTGACACCACGACACACGGCCTATGATACAAAGACAGCTGTGGTCAGACAATTCAAGACCTCTCATATTATATGCTTTTGATAGCCATGTTTTACAGCCTTATACTAGGACAGAGCGAATCGCTACTGAGTACATCCAGCCCTTTTTAGACAATGGAACATTTAACCGGAGCTGTAGATGGCGTAAGTTGGCGAACTTCGACTGAGCCTTTTGAATGTATGCACAGATTTTGTCAGTCACTGGCAAAGGTACAATAACTTGGACATGCATTATGAATGTCATTCCAGCCGTTCATACCGTTCAATGTTCTCCAGGCGTGGAACTGACTGGAAAAACCGGTTAGGTGGTTTGCATATAACGTGGCGCCACATAATAAAAGGTGTTTAGTTTAGCATCTATTTGTGATATACTACTCCGTGGATGGGATCCTATGGATCATGCAACTCATTGGCTGAAGACGATAGTAAATATGGCTCAGAATCGAAACTAGTGGCAACCGTGTCGCAGCTTTCTTGTTTCTTTTGCTATCAGAAAGTGAAACGAAAGTATTCAATGCTTTTTTGGACTTATGCCTGAGAATGCTTCTTTAGTAGGTCATTTATGAATTTGCTTCTGTTCTCTTTTTTTTGTAGGAGTAGGACTATATCATCTGCATACTTTAGATCTACTAAGGGGTATCCTTAGTAGTAGGGTAACATGTGGAGCTGTGGTGTATGGGTTTAGACAGTTGACTCCAACCAACGGGTCACGCATTCGAACACTGCTCCAACTACGGAGGTTTTGGCAGCCACACAGTTGTCATTAGCCCTTACACAGTAGCTGTAGCTAATTGCCTACTGTACGAATGTGCACGAGGTTGCTGAGCGAGTTTCGACTTTTCGAAGAGGGCATCATTTGGAAAAGTAAATATTTGTAAATATGTATAACGAGAGGGAGGCACGTCTGTGACAGTGGAGAGAGCGGATATCTCTGACGTATAACGTTCAACTTAGACAACCCACCTGGTAACTACCCATAAATCCCAACCTCCCACAAGTATTATAATATAAAGCCTTCATAGGGTGGTGTGCTTACCGTCATTCTTTCAGTGAGACAATGCCATAGGACCTTGATCGATGGAGGCGTATTACATCTCCAGGTCAGGAAATACAGGCAGTGTTGGGCGTCGGTAAGTGTGTTCGAGTTCCAAGGCCTGATGGAGGGTGATCTAATCGACACATCCACAACCAGGTGTGAATCCTGACTTTTTTTCTCGAGTATGCTGTTGTCAAGCATCAATCAGACGTGTAGTAACTATATGTTTGTCTGATCGGTTCCCTTGTGGTTATCACAAAAGAATTTCTTTCATTTTCTGAAGACAATCATTGTCTTAAGCCAGTTGGAGGGGATCGTATCTGATTCCTGTGGGTTAGCTAACAGTTCAGCTGATTTAGCCAACAATCGTCAACCATGGTCTTTAAAAACGTTAGGCACTAATCCAGTTGATCTGATACTCTTCGTCGTTTTCGCTGCTTAACAGAAAAAAGGATAAAATCAAAGTAGAAACTCATGAATACATTGGTTCAAGTTGCCACACTTTACAGTAGCATGCAAAGTACAAGTGGATAGAAAAATATTGATGTCAAAGTAGAGGGAGATATGCAGAGATAAAATTTAGTAATTAGAGTAGTCAAAACATCCAAAAAAATACTAGAGTGAAGATAAAATTTAAAAATTAAACCTGGTCTAAAATATCCAAGCTTTGGAAGAAATTGAGTGAGTTAATACATCTGTACCATTCTAACTGATTTTCAGCCATTTCACTAAGAGTTCTCAACTACTAATTCCTATCGTTTCGGTGACTGAAGTCAGGTAGTATACCTCTCCTCTCTACAAAGCTCAGACCAACAGTCAGAGACTTCATGGATTGGTGTCACATCTTTGTCTGGCCACCGTGAGCCGTTTCCCGACCTAATCGAACTTCTTCCAGCATTGGACATCGAGGTAGGTGATGGCTCAGTGTGTGTAATACATGTCCAAGCCACCTTAGTTACTGAAGGTTGACAACTTCATTGACTGGCCTACCTTTCTTGCCCAGTACTCTTTGTCTGACCTTGACATTGGTAACATGGTGGTTGGATGTAAAGTGAACAATGATGGGAAGGCACCTGTGGTGAGAAATCTATAGTCTCATTGTATCATCTACTTTTAACGGGTGTTACTGCACCACAGTACACTCGTCCTTTAGTAGGTAGTGGAGCATCTCGCCAGTTGACGCGGGAGATGAGGTGAGTTGGCAAATATCAAACGGGGATTCTGGACCCGAATTGAGATTTCGTCGGCAACCACCCGTTTTGAGTTGATACGACCTTGTAAGTGAGTGAAATGGTTGACGCATTCCACTGCTTGGCTGCCTATTGTTAAACTGGGAGTAGTTGTAGACCAGTTTTGGAGCATCATCGTAAATTTGACAGGTGTGAAGTGCATGTGAAACACACTAAGGTTTTTATTGAAGGGGTTCAGAAGACCCTGTATTTTGTTGGTATTTTCACCTAGCAGGACGTTGTCTGGATAGCCCAGGTTAACTAGAGGTCCTTGAGAGAGTTGATCACTCCGTGTGAAGTCAGAGGTACCTAAGGTTATGGTCAGGAAGGGTGAGAGCGGGTATTCTTGATGGATCCCACTAGTTGTCATGAATTCAGATGACAACTGTGAATAGGTGGTGCAATGGCTGTATGAGTTTGAGTAGAGAGCTTTGATTTGGATTACTTGATTGTTGGGTACTCTTTTCATTGGCAGAGACCATGACACCACCTCACGGTTGACAGAATCGTGTGCCACCTTCAAGTCAAGAGGTATGGCAAGTGTTGGGAGCCATTAGGCATGCCTGTGATATTGAATTTGTCGATAATTGGAACTGTAATGATCGTTGCACTCAGCCAAGGTATAAAAGTCACCTGGTTTTTTCAAGCTCCATTTAGGCGTTGAATAACTGTGAACCCAAGGTTCTTGAACAAGATATTAGTCATACTGACTCCTCTATGGTTGTGATAGCTAGACTTCTCACCTTTCTGGAAAACTGAGATAGTTAACGATCTTGACCAGTCTGACGGCACTACCTCTGATTCCCGTAAACCACCTAGTACCTTCATTTTTCTAATCAGGGATTTCTTATCTTTATCCTTATAAACTTCAGGCGGCAGACCGTCAGTTCCTGCTGATTTCCTTCGTTTCAGGTTCGATACAGCCTTCCCAACTTCCAGGAGTTTTGGAGGAGTGATATCTACTCCCCATTCAGGTTCATACTGAGTAAGTGAAGTGTTGCTCTGAGCCGTTGAACTGTACTTCAAAGTGTTCTACCATATGTAGTGAGAGGTTGTCAGGGTCGCATCCTTTTCTGTGTTGACTTCACTCACTATCGTCTTCTTCCTGCTGGCTTCCTTAATAAACCTAATTAATTGCTAGTTATTACCTAATGCTGATGCCTTCCCCATCTCTCTTGCTTTTACCAATCACCACTGTTCTTGGTCATTGGGAATACTCTTAGTTAATTTACTATTAAGTTGCTTTTGCTGTTTATTGTGGTGAGAACCAGCTGTTGCATTAGTCAGTTCGTATGAGGTTATGAAAATGGACTGGCGTTTGCTAACCATTGGATGTAGGCCACCAACTGTCCTCACCGCGGCTTCTACAGGAGATGTAATAATGCACCAGGTTTCCTAACAATGAGCACTACTGTCATGTTCGGTTAAGTGCTTAGCTATCTCTTCTCTGAATACGGACGTAAGTTTCTCATCTCTCAATCGAACATAGAAAGGCTTCACTGCCGCCTGTTTCCTACGACCGGTAAGGCTCAGAAATACACGAGCCCGTACCAGCGCATGGTTGGAGTCCAGACTGGTACTCCAGAAAGAATGGCAATCCTCCACCGATCCTCTCCAACCATAGCTGGCTCATAGCAATATGATTTGTCTATGTCCATTATTGGCTTAAAGTCAGTGTGACCTAAGTGCGTTTGAATTGAAATCACTTATTGTGACAACCACATGCGAGTGTTTAGTTTTCAATGGAAGACTAAACAGTTTTCGTCATATACTTGAAGGGTTTTCCGTCTTCATCACATTACAGAAGTAAGGTTAAGTGAATGACTATGATCGAATCGTATACTCATCTTACAAACACAACATAGGCTCAAAGTCTGAGATGCCACGGTTTTGACTAACAAAGCTTGTTATAAGGTTTCATGGAGAGTAGACACTGAAAGTCCCAATGTGTAGTTTAGAGCACAGTTTCAGGGGACTAAGGGTGTTGTTACTTGAAGTAGAATCGTTAACGAGGGATGCAGACCTAGAAGAAAAAGGAGATGATGTATGGTTAGTAATAGAGGTGTGTGAAGCAAGATTAGAAGGTAAACATGTGAGGTGTTGATGGTGATCAGAGGAGACTTGAGTTCTATTGTTGTGAGCGTGGTTGACACTTCCCAGTTGCCCACACCTTGTAATGTTTCTTCTTTTTCAGGTAATTGAAAAACGAAGTGGATTAGTAAGGCTAGTATTGACAGTTAGAATATGTGAGAGGAAAGCTACTGGAATCTAGTTAAATATTGGCTTTTGAGAAGCTTATGATCTTAATTTTGTCGTTTTGCATCCGTTCCTGAGACAAAACACTTATCGTAAACACCGGAAGTTAGTGGGGTACGGAACGTGCTGCGTTTTCGATTTACCTTTTCTAAACCCTCTTTTCGATAATGTAAGGCATCATCATCATAGCATGCTGATAATCCATAGAAAATACTACTTATGTCACGCTCCCGTAAAAGGAGCAGTATAACTTTTCTTTTGGAGCTTCACCACGGAGTAATTTATTTGCGCTTTGGTGGTAACTGCTCTTAGTTTCATCACTAGCTAAGGTACCTTTCTTGCTTTGTTGGACCTCATGGGAAAATCTTTTCAACCAGCATAGGTTATCGAGCCGTTGTAATATGCAAACACAATTAACACGTCGAGTTTTCAGATATTACCAGCAGCTAGTCAGAATCATGGGTATTCAGTTTTGGCTATTCAAGATGATAGCATTTTTTAGCAGTGCACGGTTAACGATCATTCGATGAAAGTTTTTAAAACTTTTCTGCTTAAAGTGGGTTATTCTTTGAACTTGAAATGTTTCGAAGTTAATCAGCAAAAAAAGTATTAAAAATTGGTAGATGATCATTGTTGGTTACTCACTCGATAAAACAAGGTTTAAGAGACTGAATAATTGAAACCTATGGGGATAATCTAACTAGTTTTCTATTACTTTAAAGCTAATTTACGTTTCAGCGAGGCGAACGTACACTACCGATTTCCTTTTGGTTTATCAGTTTCATCTCTTTATGTCGATGATAATGTTTATCTAATACATATTTTGTATGAAACTAGTTCTATGCAAATGATTTTAAGTTTTTATCTTATTAGGTTGTCATACCATTTCTGGCCACAAAAATTGCATTCAAGCCTCAATATCACCTTGGTCATTTATACCTGATGCATCACTGGGTTATCAAGAAAGTGTTTCTTGTTCAAGAAATCCCAAAGCTTCTACTTCACTTCATGCAGTCTATAACGATATGATTCAAGCTAGTATTTCTGTGGACACAAAATCACATTTAGGTAACAAAACTTGATGGTGGAATTTATATATATATATATATATATATATATATATATATATATATATATATATATATATATATATATATATATATATATATATATATATATATATATATATATATAATCTCGCTTGTTCCATTTTGGTGACAGAAGCATCTTGTTAGCGGTTAATACTAGTTGGCAAGTGTTCCGGATTGTTAGTCTACAAAGCGATCATTGAGGATAGTCTTAGTGTATTAGCAACGTAAATGATTTACACGCCTTGTAGGAAATTAAAATGATGTGTTAAGAGTTATGCACAACAATATGTCTGACTTACAGTACTGTGTATTTTCCAAAAGGTCTGTCCACGAGTTAGTTGAGATACAAAGTCATTTAGCCCCTACCAAAGCTGGGATATGCAAAACAATTTTGCGGGATTTTGTGGCTCATCATCTGTACTCGTAGGCCAACACCTGGAGTCAAGTGTAAATATAATAAAAGTTGGAGAATTTCCTTGAGACTGCACTCAGTCACCTACCAGTCATATTATCTCGTAGGGCAACAGAATGTGAATATTAGAGTAAATATTTCAGTTTTATTTTATTTTCGCGAGTTCTTTTTGCAGATATTTAAGTAGTTTTTGAAGTATATCATTTATCTAGCAAAACTCAAACTCAGGTCAAAAACGTTTCTTGCAATGCGTTAAATGCCTTTGCTACAGAACATTCTTCCGATATCTGATTAATTTTAAAGGTTATTAGTCATTAAGCAGAAGGTTCTGTCATCTGACTTCAATCACAGTACACCACAGTCTTGTATTGCTTGACTTAAAAGCTACATTAAACATATAAGCGGCAGGTTTCAATCAACATTTATAATTAGCCAGCCCCAGCAGTTGCCCTTTGGTTATCGATTCATGAATATCAAATTAATACCCATAACAGCTGTTTGTAGGATGTGAACATTTTACCATGAAGAAAATTGAAATAAACTCAACAACCTTCTGTGCATTTGTGTGATAGGTAATCACCCATACGTATTGTGTGGGGGCTAATGACACTACTTAGCCTTTCAAACCCCCGATTAATGGAGCTGCGTTCAAATTCTTGACTTATTGGTTGAAAATAAAGTGCCTAGACCAATGCACCACATTGTGCTTAAATTATGAGATTGTATAATTCAATGGTTTTAAATTTTCAGTTCGAGTTTACTTTGGTCTAGTTAGCGGAGTGGAATTTCTAGTCAACGCAACAGACATGGCTCACCATCCCTCACTTAGGTACTTGCTCAGTCACTAATTTATCCTCATCTAAAGTAGTTTTTAAAACTTTAAAACTGAGATTTTCAGTTTGTAAAATAGTTTTCCCCTGATATTCACCCACTCTATATTTTGTCGTTAGTGAGTGAAACGGCAGTTAAAGCTGGATCACAAACAACTGAGTTAACTCCTTGTATCACATCATCTATAACATATAGTGGGAATCAGGATTTAGATTCTCATTTACTGGCTGTTGGTAAACAGGATCGTCGTGAGTTACTTTATAATGCTCGGGGACATCAACTACAGGAGTTACAAATGGAAGTTATTGAATTAAAAGAAGCAATCGCAAAGGAAAAGCGCTTGTCTAATCATCGTGCGTTGTTAGCTGAAGGTTAGTTGGTTTTGTCTGTGAAAAGCTACAATTTTATCTTGCTTCTCATGTTTATTATTGAACAAGTTATAATCCATAGGATGCGAATTGAGCCAAAAATATCAACCAGGTTCAAAGGGCGATACTCTAAACTCTTAGACTAAACTTAGTTTTTGAGGAGTTTTCGTCGGTCTGCAACTAATTTGTTAAAATGCATATACCACTTGCAATACATTTAAATGTGGGTGCATGTGTGTATAAGTTTTGCGATTGTTGTCAACTGTTCGTCTCTTCTTGTGCACCCTTATGTGAGTATTGCCAAGGGAATATGTCTTTCACAATTGATTTTTAAGCACCTGGGTTCTCACGAGTTTTCATACAAGTCGTGGAATGTTCTGTTGGTTCTGTAATATTCTACGTAAATGTTTGTTTTTGAATCTAAACTTTCACCAAAGATCTGTAGATAAGAACACCTAACAAAATGTCACTACTGATGTATCACTTATCATGCACAAATACTGCAAGTTCACTTACTTCAGAATGCAGAGGTATGTTGTGGAACTGACTTTACTTTATGAGTAGTTTAATTGCAAGCGGAGAAGCATTCGAAATTATTGGTAATTTAAATATACTGAATTAAGTGCATTTTCAGAAACGCCTACAATAAAAACTCAAATGCTCTCTAGAAATTTGCGACGTACAGGTAATAAAATGAATATACTTTCTGAAATCATGTAAAGACAATTAGTACGAATGAGATGCCCATTTGCAAGCCATTCACGAATACAATGAGAAAAGACAATCCAGTGCCCTCATGTAAAATAAGGTGAAAACCGTTAAAAACCCATAGTTCTGGGATCTAAGGGTTTATATCCGAAGGATTATACGAATTTCAGTTGAGTGGAAGATAATTGTCAGTCAGTTAGTTAGTGTCAATATGAAACCCGTCTAACAGTCGAAGTTGCTAAACCTCATTTGGTTCATTGCAATTTCTGATTGTAAAAAGTTGACACCAGTTTTACAGCACATTGGGAGGTTGCAAATAGTTGAAGACTTATGTATGTGTATGCTTGTTATTGTCTGACAATAGAAGTAATTTAGGGATATGTTTAAAGTTTAAACCTTCTAGTTAAGCATAACGAATTATTTTATTAATTGATTGATCTTCCTAGTCGTTGATTGGGCCACTGGTTTGTGTAATATAACTACCCACTACCCTTAGTGATAGGATGGGGTTATATTATGAAAATATTCAGATGCCATAAAAATACCAGCCTAAAAACCGAGTATGAACTGCGTAAGCCTGTTCCTAAAGCTGTCGACAGCATGACTTAAAACTATGTAGGTGGGGATTTGTCGCATTGTGCACTAGTCGGTTTACCCTGAGTAGTTGTGTTTGCACTAAGAATTAGTAGTTAGCATTTAATCATTTGATAAACTGTAAGTACTGATAGTCACATAACCTGGTGATGAAACTTCCAAGAACAAACTTCAAGACCGGAAGAACATCGGACAGTTTTCACTGTAGATATGTGTAGGCTTCAGCCGATCTGCTCAGTGGTCGTCCACAAGCGTTCTGCTAGTTAGCAGCATAAGTATATATAATCGCTGGAGTCGTATATTCATAACAACAGAGATTTAAAGCGTTTTGTTTTGTTTGTCGTTCAATTCAATGTCTCAGGAGAAAAGGAGACGCTGCGTTCCAAACTGTCAACATTAGAAGACACTGTGAGGTCATTACGTCAGGAGCTTGTAAAAAAACAGGAAAGCTCTGAAGTCTTGCAGAAACAGTTGCAGCAGAATGACGAGTCCCAGAAAAAGGTTGGTGCTTCCTTATTCTTTTATTCTATCTGTACATGTCAGACTTTCTAACTCTATAATTCCCTTGCAATCATATGATATTTCTAATTACTACATTTTTGATTGGTTTACGTTTTGGTTTGCCTACTTGGTTTTGGTTTGTTTACTTTTGAAGTGTTGCAAGCATCATTTGTTATCATTTCACTTGTTCCGTTGTTATTTCGTTAGTGAAACAATAGATTCATTGGTAAATGTTTTGTTTAATCATGTTCATTATTTTGAAATCAAATATCTTCATCTGTGCTAGCTGAATAGTAATTTCACTTTGTGATAGGTCGCGGAAACGGATGAAAGCAATAGAGATATTAATAACTGATGCTTATCTCTGAATTTCAATATTAAAGTGATGGATACTTGGCGCAGGCACTTGAATTTCAGCTACAGAACCTGATGATACTCCTCTATATTTATCGAAGTACAAATCTGAGTGTTGAAGTGTAGTGCAGCTATGAAGTTGGAGAGTTATGAGACTAGTAGAATAGGGTTCGGTTATCTAATAGATTACTGTGCTTGCATTTCTGAAAAAGTTAAACAATGCAGGGAAAAATGAAAGGCAATAAGGAAACTAAAGGTTAGGAAGGTTACATTTCCCATATGACATTCATATACTGCATGATAATAACAGCTCTTTTAACCTCACATTTGCTCTAGCTATTTCACTAACTCAGCCACACATTTATTTCCATCCCTTTATATTGTTGCTTATTCCAAAGAATTATCTTGCATTTCACATTCTATTCATTTATTTGCCACGTTTTGTATAGTAATTACTCGTCATCTTATAAACAGTTTCCAAACTTTGTTTAATACATATTGGGAATTGTTGTGACTACTAGCTTGATTCATATTGGTAAAACCTAAAGAGTATTTTCGTTTTAAGGATTGGTCTTCGTTCAAATCTGTTTATAATCCAATTAATATTTACGGGTTTGGTTTTCTGTGTTTTAGTTGGGTGAGGAACTTTCAGCTTTACGTTCAGCCAATGAGTCGTTATCCAGTCAGTTAGTTGAACTTACTACAGGGAATGCTTTGAAACGAGCCGAGGAAAGAGAAGCACAGCTTGCACAATCGTTCGAACAACGTTTTGTTTCGAAAACTGAAGAAATTAAGGCTGAATTAAAGACAACGCGGAAAAATTTAAACGAAAGGGTTAGTGACTGAAATGTTTTTGGTCTGATAAACATTTAAACAATTTTTAGCTGTTTCTTATACTGTTTTTTAGTAACTTTTTGCCTCGGAATTTACGTCTAACAACAAATTGCTTGAAATTAATCTAGCAGTCGTCTTCATTTCGACTTTGGCACAGCATTATAATATAATGCTTTATTGAATAATAATTCGTTGTAAATTTACTCACGGGATTCACAAAAATCTGAATGTATTCTGAATGTCGTGATGAAACGCTCAATGGGAACCCGTGGTTAATTGATTAAAGGTTGAATACATCAGTTAATAAACTACATTTTGACCGGTGTTGAAGAGGCTGTATTTTTTTGTGCAGGGGAGTGGAATCGTATTTGTGCACGTCTCCAAACTTCCGTATTGCTTCCAAAATATTCTCATAGAAAATGAGCAGTGCTTCGTGGATGCCGATAACTGAACATAAAGAACGGTTTGTGACTTTATTAGATGGCGTATAAATTGTCTGTTGATTTAGGTGTTGATATCCTTATCAACTGTGAGATGTATGTCATTCTCATCTTAAACGGCAAATTTGGTTATTGCAACTGACTACCAGGAAACGCATCACGCAAAATCACCGTATAATGACGTCAATGTTTGAAAGAAAAGTTAAGATTCTGTAGCAATAACGGTGATATTGACAAAAATACTTAAGGTAGAAAAAACAACAGAATAGATCTTGTTCTTCATCTTATCAGGATTTACAATTTAAACCAATGTGCATAGAGGAGACATGAGTTATCGCCAACTGGATCGCTGGTGACTTTGGCTTTAGCCATATCTCATAACGTCTGAATCCACCATGTAAGGTTATAAAGTCAGTAGGTGACCGAATCAACATAGAACTGTACCTAATCCGAAGTTGATTGCTTTACAAGTAGCTCAGCAAACTCTAGTCAGGATCATGTATAATATGCGGAAATTTTACTCGTTATGTATTATTATGTAGACGCTCTTGTTGAACATAGCAGTAAGTTCAATAAAAAGAAACGAAAACTGCAAAATTTTCGTAGCCACAAAAATAATCGTTAACTCACTCTGTATTGTTTTTGTTCGTTCAGAAAATATGATTCATTATATGAATCACAAGGTAGTATTTAGGTTCATTTGTATGTCTGTAGTAAGTCTTAGGAAATATGGCAGTTTTATGATAAAACCATGTTCACCACTCTAGGAAGCAATAACTTATCTGCATAAACATTCCACTTTCAACTAGTGAGCCGTGCGTTCGAGTCTGACACCTAGGGTGTAGGCAAGTAGGTGGTGATCACCTGCCACATACAATGGATGTTGGTCTTGGTTGAGTATATGATTATGTGTATAGCTGTTTGGCTCTGTGATCATACAAATCTTTTTCTCTTTCACGTACCTTGTTAAGGTACGCCATGGTGTGGGCAGCCGGGAAGTGTCAGCCGCCCATACTGTTCCAGTAGTACACAAGATTCAATCAAATATAACCTGTCCTCCCTAACTGTATCTCCTTCTTTTACCTCACCCGCTGATACTAACACCAAGCCTCTTACACCTTCTTCAACCTCTCATCCTCTGACCATTGCGAAGGATCAGAGCGGCTGAAACCTCATTCCTAGTCTCCTAAGCCCCTGGCATCGGTTTCATGTTAAAGCTCTCAATTTTCGAACTCAATGCCGAATCGGACAGTAAGCATCGCTCGCCTAAACTCTGAAATCTCTAGCGATGCATGAATGTTGTGTCTCTAAAACACGTATATAGGACCCGAGTGGGGTTATAACATTGACCCCATCTAGTTATATTAGTGAACCTTCAAAATTCAACTTGCTAGTATCCGGAGGCCCAATGGCTAGCTCTTGTGAACTCACTGGTGTATGCATAGCATTGAGGTGTAAGACAGAAGCGCACTTCTCGACTGGATAGCAGTCAACAGCCGTCTATGCGCTGTTCGACTAAATGGATCTGTAAGGACTAGGAAGTATCATGAGACTTGGCGATGCCTATTCGTAATCGCAACCTACGCACCCACCGACTGTAGTTTGGACGAAGCAAAGAATGAATTGTATGAAAAGCTGCCAATCTTGCTACAGAAATCAAAACGTTTAGATTTAGTCATAGTGGCAAGTGACTTTAGTTATCAAGTAGGAAAGCTGAGCCAATCGGAGAGGCAGGCATCTTGGAGGCATTCAGGGGATCCCATGCCAATGAACCGACAATGGTGATCATCTGTTGCAATTTTGTTCCGACAGTCATTTGTTTCTGACCAGTATTAACTTTAAGCATGAGTAAAGACACTGTCTCGCATTGCATACGCCGATATCAAACCAATGGCAGACGCAGATCATATTGCTATAATCCAGTCATAGAGAGGATCGGTGGTGGATTGCTGCTCTTTCTGGAGTACTAGTTTGGACTCTGATCACGCGCTAGTACGGGCTCTTATTTTTGCCCCTTACTGGTCGCGGGAAACAGGTGATATTAACGCCTGTCTATAATCTCTCGGAAGATGAGGATGCCGAATAAGCATCCTAGGGATGATTTAGCTAAGCAATTGTCTGAATATGGAAGCAGTCTTCATCTTCAGAAGACGCGGCGTAATAATAAGTTTGCTGTAGAAACTATGGTAAGAACAATTGGTAGTCTACATCCAATAGTTATAAAACGTCTTCGGATTTCTGCGTCGTCATTCGAACTGATCGATGCGAGAAGACTGGTTGCAGCTGCCTCTAACCTCGTTGGAGAGCGATAGTAATCGAAACGTAAGTTGACCAAGAGTCTTGACAATGATCATGAGCAGCGTTGGGTGATGAAAGCAAGAGAGATGAAGAAAGCATCAGCACAGGGTAACATTCGGCATGTATGTAGGCTTATTAGGGATACCGGTAAGAAGAAGAATCATAGTTCAACTGTCTCGCAGTAACTTTTCAGTTGCCTAACATCCAGCCTCAACTGGAATGAGACGCAGATGTCGGTCCTCTAACTCTCCCTGAAGTTGAGCAAACATTATCAAACCTGAAACGATGCGAAGCAGCAGGACTTAATGTTTTCAGTGTTGGAGGTAGGAAATTTTCGATCAAAGTGACGAAAGTATTAGATAGTGTATGAGAATCAGAGGTAGTGCTATCAGACTGGTGTACTTTTTTAATCATCCCAGTCTATAAGGAATCTTCTGACAACCTTAGTGGAATTAGTTTAACTAATATTGTGTCCAAGATCGTAGGGTCTATAGTTATCTGACACCTTACTGGAGCTCGAGAATAGCGAACTCGAGAAAATTAGGCAAGTTTCAGACCTGGACAAGGGTGCATTGACCATATTTTTACCCTTTGACAGGTTGTGGAACCCAGTCATAGCTAGCGGTTGCCAACACATGTCATTATTTCTTGACCTGAGAACATCATTTGACTCCGTCAACCATGGGATGTTATGGCAATCAGTGTCTGTCTGTGAACGGAGTACGTGACAAGTATGTAATGCTCATCAAAGCTCTCTACTCAAACTCACGCAAACGTGTCAGGGCTTATGGAAAGTTTTCATCAGAATTGATGACAACTAGTGGTATTTGCCAGGGATGTTCACTGTCACTGTTCCTATTAAACTTCGTTGAAGACGTACTAATGGACATAACCTTAGGTGGGTCTGACTTTATCGCTCCCTGGAGGTCATCTGGTTGGTTTGGAATATGCAGATGGTATTGTTCTGCTAAGTGAAGATGCTGACAAAATTCACGGTCTTGTAAACGCATTGAGCTGAAATTTAAGTATGGTTTTGATATGCGTTTCTCATCTGTCAGATGTCAGATAATGCTCTAGGACTCGTCTGCAACTATTCCTAGTCTGAGGTTAGGAAGTGGAGTGGTGGCATATATCGCTCACTTCACTTACTTCAGGAGTTGCATCAACTCGAATGGGCTGACTTAGATATCTGCTGCGCTTGTCGAGCCACTGCCTAACCCGACGCGCTGTGCTAGGGGAACCTGGATTAGGTTGGAAGAGGGTTCAGGCTGCTCAGACCAAGATATGGCATCAGTCGATGAAGTTTCTTACTGTTGGTCTCAGTCGTGTGGGGAAGTGTAAACTGTCTGTTTGGAGTCCCTGAGAAGAAAGGAATCAGTGGTTGGGAAGTCATGGCCAAATGGCTGAGAATTGGTCACAATGATGCAGATGCGTCCACTCCTTGGCATCATCTAAAGCTTGAATATTCTCACTAACCGTTATCTTCAAATTGTTTATTTTGTCACACAACTTTATCTACATTGATATCGCTCGTTTCTTTGTGTACTACAGTACAGTATGACAACTTGAGGCGATGCACCTGTGTACAGGGTTATGCGTTGATTTTGCCAGTCATTCTTTACTGTTGAGTTTCCATTACCTTACGTTTGTATCATTGTAATTCCCTCCTTTGGTAACCCTGCATAATTCATCACCACCCACCTTCATTCGTACAGTCAGCAGGCTATATGCATAAACGATATCACTTTTATGATTACTTATGAAAGCTCTTTTTACTTCAATTTTGGTTGATGGGTTGCATATTGGCCGTTTGCACTAAATATAACCTGAGGTTTAATCAGTTGTTATCTAGATAGTTTCTGAGGCATTGTTTTGTCGCGTAATAGTATGTATATAAATTTGAATTCTGTATTAAATGTTTGATTCTGCTGTAATACCTTATGTTGTTCATCCTTTTGTTTAGTTAGTTTCCCTAGAACATCAGTCCTTCAGTGTTTATTTTGAAGCATTTTTTATTTTGACTTCACAATAAAAAGGAAAGTTGCATTAACTCGGGACGACGGTTTTTTCAATGACTGCTCGAGATGGTAGCAGAAAAATCCGATAATATTTAAAATAGATTGTTATTCTGGATGTTTCAAAGAATTTTTTTCTCCAGCACAAAATGTAGCCCTTATTATTCTTCGAAATAATGAAGTATAGTAGATCCATTTCTAACCTTTTACTTATTTTCTTTTTCGTTTTCAGGAAATCGAAGTTACTAATTTACGCCGACAGTTAGAAATTTCTAAGGCTGAAGCAATTAAAGCACAACAAACACACAATGAAATGATTAAAGAAACCAATAAACAGTTGGAAGAGGCTCAGAAGCATTGCCAACAACTAGCTTCATCTGGTATGTCCTTATTTCATTCCATATGGAACTATGGCTCATTAGTCTGGCCATCCGACTTCCAACTCATCGATCAAAAGTCGATTGCTTAGGTTGATATGGATGAAGGTGAATAAAACAAGGATGTGGTGCATATAATTTTGCTCATGTTCTAACTAATTTGAGTTGTAAATAGCAGAAACAGTACAGGAAGGGTATTTTATAGTTAAGTACTGGTACTGATACTCTATCAGATTTTGTAGTTTATTCTGTTAGCGTTTACAGGGCTGAGGATTTTATGTGCTGTCACAAAATGGACTGTATTTCTCTATTTCAGTTTCATACTTACTTTCCAACAAAGTGGTTGTACCTTCAATGTCGTATTCGATCAAATGTTTTTGAGTAAATGAAATCCGTGGTGTAGAGTGGGAATGGTCGACTTTTAACAGGCGGTAATAATAAAAGCGCTCTGTATTGTCTTTGCAGTAAAAATAACATTTAATGTCTAGCGTACATAAACCATAATTCTTCAGAGGATAATCGTATTCATGACTACTCATATATTCCCATTCGAACACATCAAAATATACGGAATTCTTTCCTGTTTCAGTAAAAACTCAAAAGTTTGACTAGTATTTGAGCTTTTAAACCTAAGTGAGGTGAGAATTTTTCACAGCAATTTTGGTGTCAGTAGATGTTGCAGTCGGTAAACAAAGATCTGCCAAACCGCTAAGGTATCTTGTTTGGACCACAGTTGGAAGAGCACTGGAGTCTAAAGTAACGGATTACTATTGTTACCGTGCACAAAATAAACATGGTGTATAATATAGTACTCAGTGTTTTGGATTGGTGGCTCTTAACTTTTAGGTTTTTCGTTCAAACCCCACTTCACATACCTGGCAAAGGAGTGGTGTTCCGAGTCTTCATAGAACGTCTGACTTAGCCTAGGATGTAGACATATACGTTGTTGAGTTGCGTTATTTGATAATGTATATTGTTGTACCTGTTTACTTATTTGAGGATTTTATTCTATGTCAAAATGTAATTGATCATTTTTATAATTATTTTGCATGGAAGATATGTTTCAGTATGAATTCACTCTCATTTGTCTGTTCGCTTATTTACCTGTTAGCTTTGTGCTCAGAAGTGACATCTTTAAGACAAAAAGTCATTGAGTTGGAAACTTCTAAAAGGATTACGGAAGATGTGAATAAAATTTTACAGGTGTGGTTTATTGATATCTGTTTGTTAGTCATTTTCGATTTGTTCTATTTCTTAATGCTTTTCGCCTGTTTATTTTGATGAATGAACGAATTTATTTAGTCGTCTATTACCTTACCTACTGACTGTTTTTAAACGTGATCATTCATCTTACCCGCCTAATAGTTCAGTTATACTTAGTCATTTTTCCATAAAGTGATTCGTTATTGTGGATTCAATTCAAATGTTGACTTAAATAGGTACAAACAGTTATAGACAAGTTATTTTTGTAAAGCGATGACATTCAGAATGATAAGAACTATCATTTGGAATGACGCCTGGCTTCCAAAGCTGATTAAAGGTTCATTTACAAAAACCTGGTACTCCTTAGTGTTCAGCCCTTTCTTTTCTTTATGATCCTCGAAAGACAGGTGGCTATCGGTTAACTATACTCTGTGGTCCGTCTAGAGTCACACATACTGAATAAAGTTTATAACTAGACTTTATTCTACTGGAAATCAAGGTGATTTCGATGATCAATACTCACTCCTATCGTTTGGTCGGAGTGATGAAGGAGCATCTGCAAATGTAGAAGTGGCATCTTTTGGGTTTTATTGAGATTTGCAGATATGGTAGCCTACGCGAACTCAATAAGAGTACCGGATAAATGAAATACAATAATCAACAACTCTCTTGGCTAACAAAAAAAGAAGACAGCGTTGGGCTAAAGCTTACTTCAAACGGAAGAGTATGAAAATGGGGGCCTAACTCGTGAGTTTATATACAATGGGTATTCCATCCAGGCGAACGTAGGCAGATAGATGAATAAAAAACAACGTAAAACCTAGCGACAAGTGCACCGGTCCAAGTTGCCGCAATTCACAGTAGTGTTAAAAGAACAAGTCGATAGGTAAGACTGATATCAAATTAGTAAATGATGTATGAGAGAAGATAAAATTTAAAAATTAAACCTGGTCTAAAATATCCAAGCTTTGGAAGAAATTGAGTGAGTTAATACATCTGTACCATTCTAACTGATTTTCAGCCATTTCACTAAGAGTTCTCAACTACTAATTCCTATCGTTTCGGTGACTGAAGTCAGGTAGTATACCTCTCCTCTCTACAAAGCTCAGACCAACAGTCAGAGACTTCATGGATTGGTGTCACATCTTTGTCTGGCCACCGTGAGCCGTTTCCCGACCTAATCGAACTTCTTTCAGCATTGGACATCGAGGTAGGTGATGGCTCAGTGTGTGTAATACATGTCCAAGCCACCTTAGTTACTGGAGGTTGACAACTTCATTGACTGGCCTACCTTTCTTGCCCAGTACTCTTTGTCTGACCTTGACATTGGTAACATGGTGGTTGGATGTAAAGTGAGCAATGATGGGAAGGCACCTGTGGTGAGAAACCTATAGTCTCATCGTATCATCTACTTTTAACGGGTGTCACTGCACCACAGTACACTCATCCCTTAGTAGGTAGTGGAGCATCTCGCCTGTTGACGCGGGAGATGAGGTGAGTTGGCAAATATCAAACGGGGATTCTGGACCCGAATTGAGATTTCGTCGGCAACCACCCGTTTTGAGTTGATACGACCTTGTAAGTGAGTGAAATGGTTGACGCATTCCACTGCTTGGCTGCCTATTGTTAAACTGGGAGTAGTTGTAGACCAGTTTTGGAGCATCATCGTAAATTTGACAGGTGTGAAGTGCATGTGAAACACACTAAGGTTTTTATTGAAGGGGTTCAGAAGACCCTGTATTTTGTTGGTATTTTCACCTAGCAGGACGTTGTCTGGATAGCCCAGGTTAACTAGAGGTCCTTGAGAGAGTTGATCACTCCGTGTGAAGTCAGAGGTACCTAAGGTTATGGTCAGGAAGGGTGAGAGCGGGTATTCTTGATGGATCCCACTAGTTGTCATGAATTCAGATGACAACTGTGAATAGGTGGTGCAATGGCTGTATGAGTTTGAGTAGAGAGCTTTGATTTGGATTACTTGATTGTTGGGTACTCTTTTCATTGGCAGAGACCATGACACCACCTCACGGTTGACAGAGTCGAGTGCTTCCTTCAGATTTAGAAATATGGTGAGTGTTGGGTACACCGGTAAGGATATCTGTGTTGCATAAGCTTTCTTGAGGTGGAAATATGCACGATGCACCCTTGTTTAGATGTGAAACATGCTTAGTTTCATGAGGTTTGTTGTTCTTGAGCTCGATTTATACGTCGGATAACTATGAGCCTGTGGGTCTTGGGCACGATATTAGTCAAAATGATTCGGAACAAAATTTACAGTTTCATTTGCTCAGACAGCATACAGACGGCGTTTTAATGGTGTCCAATTGGAAAGTATGCTTTCGGCCCTCCAACTGAGTGCTATTTTTGCGCCAGCGGGTTAACGAAAGCTAGCCATTTGGTCTCTGGATTCTAGTCAAGTGAAATTTCAGGATTCACAGCAGTGGGGAGTTGTGGTCTAGTGAATAACCGTACTCGGGTTCTGTATACGTGTCTCATGAATAGTCCATGGCTGGAGATTCCAGAGGTCTTGAAAACTGTGCCTGGTGTCCAGTTTGGCATGGGGTTCGGAAGTTGGAGAATCCATTATGAAATCGACGGTGGAATCTTTAGGGAATAGGAGTAAGGTTTCGATAGGTTTGATCGTTAACAATGGTCGCTAAGTGAGAGGCTGGGAAAGTTGTAAGAGGCTTAATATTTGTATGATAAGGTGAAGGCGAAGGAGGAGACAGACGTTAGGAGGATAGGTTCTGTTTGATTGGGTCCTGTACATTCCTGGAATCGTGCTAGTGGTTGACACTTGCCGGCTTTCTACACCATGGAAAGCTACTTCTTCTCTGGTTACCTGAAAGGGAAAAGATTTGTGCCGCCGCCTTCCTATGGGATATCTGCTTGAGGTCTGTATCACATAACCTTTTAGGACTGTTGGTGTGAAATTTGATTGTTCTAATGCTGGCTGGTAAAAGTTCATATTACTGGCAGTGAAAGACTATGGGGCAGGGAGTAATGCTCTATTTTTGCCCCCCGCCCTTTTCTAACCTTCCTTCCCACTGGAATGGGTAGCATGAACGTGGTACTGTTGGTCATTCACGGGCGACACCTTTCTGCTGTCTCTGCCCATCTAACTAGCGGTACAACAACCTCAGGTCTCCATTACAGCGTAGCAATTTACACTATAAGGGTGACGCATAAATGAGTATATTAAAACGGATAAATAACCAGTGGGAAAATGGCATTACTCAAGGCAATAAAGGAAAACCTTACACGCAAGATGGAGAAAAAGCGCTAGTAAGATGAATTCAAATTTTTAACGAGTAAGTTTTATAAATTTAGGCTTACAGAGTTCGTTTTTCGGGATCGTGCATTTTCAAAAGGCTTGTTTCCCAACGAATATTTGGGAATTCTATTGGTAAAAGTTTTTCTTCAATGAATATGACACCATATTTGACTTGCACTTTCTTTAAAGCTAGAAACAAATTTCTGTTGTTCTCATTGAGCTGCAGTGTTTTGCATTTAAGATTCTCTTTCGTGTAACATTCAGTGAATACGAAGCTTGGCAAGTGAGCACTCTTTACTTATAATTCTGGGTTAGGTTGTTTATCAAGTGTAGTACGTGAGTCGTTTACTAATGCTTTTGAAGTCGGCGTATACAAAAGCATATTAGTGGAGCCTCAGCTCATTGGTCTGGGCATTCAACTTTCAACCGTTGGGTCATGGATCTGAACCCTGATTAACCTACCGCTGTTCTGGCAGCAAGACGGTATCAGTAGCCGCTGGATAGTAGATGCAGCTCAATGACTACTATATGAAGCTGCACATATTTGCTGTTTTACCTTTCATATTTTTTTATTTCATGTGATATTTGACTCAGTGAGTGATTGAGCGTTTCATTTAAAATTTGTCTACTTCACGACAAATTGCAGTATTTACTTGGGAGATTTTCTAGTACCATTTCTTCGGCGTTATGGTATTATGGAGTACGGAAGCTTGTCGACAAAGTAGGATTATGTTCCTGTGTTTTCCTTCTAGTGGAAAGTGGAATTAAACGATTAAACCTTTCAATAGATATTTTTTGTCAGCTTACCGCATTATGATTGATTGCAGTCAGCAGAAATAAAGCTGCAGTAACACTCACAGAGCTTAGTGTAAGATCTTTATTTTTTACACAAATGATGTTTGTGAATGGTTACTAACAAAAGTAAGATGTATACCCATCGTTCTCCATACTTTGTTCATTATTGGGGATAATATATTATTCGTCATCCATGACGATTTATATAGTGTATACGGTTGTTTAGGTAAAGTTGTAACCCCTGAACTGGAGCTAGGGTGAACAAGCATTTCTCATTGCCGTTACGAGCATTCCTTTGAGTTGCGTTGGTGTAGTCACATCGTTCATTATCTAAAGTTGTGACATAAGCTAGTTTTTCCAACCATGCTGTGAGCTGTTAGTGCTTACAAAAGTTTCTGAATCAATTCCGTATGAAGATATTTATTTTCTGTGTCGATGGAATTTTTCAGGATGAATTACGTGATTTTCGAGAACAGGTTGGCATTTATGAAAACGTTTTAAAGTTGGATATGTATTGTCATAATAGTGGAGATAATATAGATCCAGCTATAAATGATCCAAGTGATTGCACACCATATGCCATTAAAGGACGTCATACTGGCAAATCTGTTGCCTTTGCTAATGTTGATGTGGTTGAAAACAAGCATAATAATTCAGTTCATCAACGTCCATCTTCAGCCACTGAACGACCTATTCATCATAACTTTGATGACAACTTCAGTATTTTTGATGCTTGGAATTCAGATGAACAGTCTCGCCAATACCGCGTCCAAGACTCGTAAGTTAAAGTGCTTTTTAATTCTTTTGATTCGAACTTTTGAACGGTATTATTCTTGAACTTTGAACTTCTCCTGTAAAAAAGGTTGAAAAAAATCTCCGGATCCATATATACATATACACTGTCTCCATCCAATTGATGCTATATGACGTGCTGAAAATTCTGTACAGTATTCCCAAAATAGTTTTCAGAATAAAGCCATTATTAATATTATCATTATTATTATTATTGAAACAAGAGGACATTAAAATAGGGAGAAACCAAAGAGAACACTTGTAGCTTACACGAAATATGACCCTCGTGGGAGAAGATGCAAACGAAAAGAATTCAGAAAGTACAATAAGTAAGTGGGTAAGTTAGTTAACTAAGGGACATACAAATCTCTAATCACCTTGTGCATCCCACTTATAATTAAAGCATTCATATGTTTCTATGTTTGTATATGTTTCGCTGAAAACCTGGAGATTTGTAGCTTAGGATGAAAAAATCCGACATGATTCTGCAGGGGTTCGGTTTGTCACTTTCATGATATAGAAAGGAAAAAATCTGAAAAATACCAACAACTTATTGTGACAGACTTGTCGATTAGATATTTTTTTAAAAAAAAATCGCCATCTTAGGTCAGGGTTAGATTTCTTAAAACGAGCTGTTCATATGCTTAAGATTTTCTATACGATCCATGTGGAAGGTGTAAGCATTACAGTTTTTTCAAAATTTGTTGATAACTTGTATATGACCACTAGTATTATGTGCAAGTGTCCTACGAATTAGAGTTTTAATGATAACGTTTGCTTTTTTTTCTGGTCTTAATCAAATCCTTTGCATTGCCCATCCTGATATCCTACTGCATGTAGCCGGTCTTACTAATCCATTCGTATGATTGCCCTCCTTTTGTATTCGTCTACCATGCCATTTTCCTTATCTAGCGAAAACACGAACTAACAGCTGTCGTATATTTGTGACTAATTCAGCTGATGAAGCTTCGATATTAGAAGTAATTGATAAACAGTTTCTTTGAAATCACTAACTGATTAAATTGCCTGCATGATCTTTCCAGTGATATTCAGTTAACGTGAGACGCTTTTCGTGGCCTCAAGATATTAAGTCTGCATTGCATCGAAAAACTACTCTATTTGTAATTATTTCAAACATGTATGGGCTAACTATCGTTCCACGGTGCAGAGTAGTTCTATATCATATCCCTGTTTTCCTGGTTACCTAAGGAATAGACATTTCCTGTTTGAATCTAAGTTTTATACTTTTGACAGAAAAAAAAATCAGATATATTTTATTCTTAGCGTTTGCTAGGAAATGTATTATTTAATAATTGCACATCTTCATTCTTATTCTTTTTTAGAGGTAGTAAACAAGTACGTAGCGATAATGATGAGCTGGTAGATAAGTCGGGTGACTGTAAACAAAGCCTGTTTCAGTCCTTAACTCGTCAGGGCATATTAACTAGTACACCGGCAGTAGCAATAACCTCACCAAAATCGCCAATGGCCAGATTACGTGCTGAACTTGAAAGATGTCTTTTAAACTACAAAGCAAAGCGAGAACAAATAACTAGACTTCATGAGGTTTTGTATACAACACGTTGTCAGCTACATCAGTCAAGAGAAGCAACCGAAAAGGCTGAAAAATCAGCTAAACTTTTACAGGTAATATATGGGGGATATATTTCTATGTACGAATAGTGATTTTTTTCCTCGAACATGAGTATTATTGAATTTTTTGAAATTCACATTGAGTTCTACTGTAACTATTATTTGAAATTGGACAGCTTAAACTCTTCGAGTCCCTACTGGGGTATAACAGGAGTGCTTCTTTCCTTTATCTTCACATTTTAGCTCCCTTCGATTTAGCGGAAATTCGTTCACCCTAAAGATCGTGTACAATTGACAAATTTTTTAAGTTATTGTTTTCTTTTAAATCGAAAATGGCGGTTGCTACATTTCAATCAAAGTTACGCACAAAACCCCAAAACTTTCAGGACAGGTTTAATGTATAGGTAGGACTGTAAGTAAGAATTATAACCGAAATAATCATACTTAAAACTTTCAAGTGTGTCTCTTCGGTGGGGGAGAATCGCCGAACTAACTACAAGGGAGAATCAACAAGAAGCGGGCGAGCAATCTACACATACTGTACAGTTGAAATTCGGAGCTCACTTCTCAAACGGGCAAACTTACCGAAATCAGTCAGAGTCAGTGGTATGCAGTCGATTAAGGGTCATAAGTACAACATGATTGAGCAAGGTTCATAATAAATGCATACAGAAATTATTGGTCGGACAGGAGTAAGGGTGGGTAATAGGGTTGTATTACAAATATCTTGTTGGAGTGCAAAAATGGGCTCAAAGAAGATTGATAGATGTAGCATATTTGACACTTTCTTTGAAGGTATTCGAACGTTCAGGGTCATATCAAACCTTCTGACCAGTCCTTTTCTGAGGTGGCTTAGCAGAGTGTTATTAACGCACGATTTCGAATCTCTCCGGTTACGTTAAATTTTGTCATTTATGTTTTTGGAAGTTAAGTTTTTTTCATAGATTTGTCAAGAATTACTATCTTTCCTGAATATGTAATTGTTGGTTTTCATAGTATACCGACATTAAATTGACAAAATGCAGAATTTTCTAAACATTCTGGGCGGTAATTCAACAACGTGTAAATAGGTTTCTCATCTGTCATGCCATTTTTTGTTATTTCATCACTGGTTTCTACAAATAGTAGTTTTGACAATAAGGAGTGCATTTATTTTAGCGTGTTAACCACTGCACTTATCTGAGCAGTCTCGTCAGTTTTTGTGAGTTAGCGGCAAACTAAATCTGTACTCATATGATCAATATTTAGCTACTCTTAACCTTTTTATTCCCCCTTTCAGTTTTTTCTTTTTTGTTCTTTTATTTCAAGCTACCTATTACTGTATATGCAATTTCTTTTTATTTCTTAATCTGTTTCTGTGATTCGTCTTCATTGTGCTAATATGTGATGATGTGTAAACCAATGCACACTTTTGGGATGTTTTTGCATTGATAGCTGTTGGCCACAAAAAGCTTTATTTATGCTTCCTAAGCTCTAAAATGAACGAAGTCGAAGACAATATTTTGTTCCTATAAATGAAATGTAGTTATTATTCGACCTTTGCTTACTCAAGAATTCAACGTTGATGAACAAAGACGTTTTTGCACCTACTTATATTGTTCCTACTTGTCAGCTAAGCATTCGCTTCAGCTCCTATGTTGTTTGCTTCTGTTTACTACCTTGTTTGTCCATCAGAACCTACCCTCAAACGCAGTGCGATTTATAGCATAGTACATAAACCTGTTCCGTACTGATGAATTTCATTAGAATTAATTAAAAAACTACTGAACTAATTAAATTATACAATGCCATGCAAACTGCTTTTTGCTGTTACTCGAATCTTACTTACATTCTACCTAATATGAAAGTGCAACAGTTATCATTATAGCATAACAAAAGTCCCCAATAAATAAGTAGTTGAGGATTTAATTTACTTGTCGAACAGTTTGTTTGCGAGAGGATTTAAGTTAACGCGGAAATTTCAATAGTCATTTTGCAGACACCAACATGGAAGGCATTTTGTAACATTATTATTATTACTGTTTGTCGCTAGGGTTCCTAGTGGGACATAGGGCTTCAGCAGCACGTTTCCATTGCACTTTGTTCTCTGCAGTCTTTTCAACAGGGCTCCACGACTGCCCAGAAGCTTTCATTTCTTCCTCACATGATCTCCATGTCACCCTCGGACGCCCAACTCGTCGTTTCCCCTTTGGGTTCCACTCGAGGGCCTGGCGCGTGGTGTCCCCAAATGGTCGTCTCAGTGTATGCCCAATCCATCCCCACTTTCTCCTGCATATTTGCTGGGCAATAGGTGTTGATTGGTTCGTTGCCAGGCCAAAGAGAGCTCCTTGTTGCTTATTCTTTCTGGCTATCTGACCTTCAGTATCGAGCGTAGGCAGCTATTAGTGAATGTCTGTGGTTTTTTTGGAAGTGCTTTTGGTGACACGCGAAATCTGTGACCCACCATATAGAAGCACTGACTTGATATCAGTATTGGAAATCCGGATCTTGCCTTCGTTCCGATCCTGGCTGCTTTGACGTCCTAGTCTGTCCCAAATGTAGTTGAAACGATGCTACTCAGGTATATGAAAGAGACAACTTCATTTAGGTTTCTCCCGTTAATGGTTATTGGTGCTTGTTGATGATGCTCTTGTTGGTTTGGCATCTTCATCACCTCTGTCTTCTCTACATTCACTTGTAGTCCCGTTTTCGCTGCCTCTTCGAGTTTGTGTGATAGGACATTAGACATAAATCATCATCGGCGGCGAAATCAAAATCTTCAAAGGTTTTCTCATCGGCCCAGCCAGCGTATCCCCATCTTCTCGCTCCTCACGGTTTGTTGCATGATCCAGTCCAGTCCAGTCGACCATAATCAGGAAGATCATCTGTGATAGTAGTCGGCAGCCTTGTCTTACTCCTGTCTTTACTTCAAAAGCATCACTGAGCTTCCTATTGTGAATCATTCGGCATGTGGCATCATCAAATAGCATATAACTACTGTTGAATGAGGTTGATAAAGGTTTGTGGCACTAAAACCGTAGTGTTGAAGTAACTGTCTGCCAAATTACTTCTCAATCGACACTGGTGAAACCCTTTTCAAAATCGATGAAGTTGAGGTAAAGAGTTGACTGCTATCCTATGCTGTGTTCTATGATGATGCGTTGCGTTGTAATTTGATCCGCACATGATTTGTTCTTCCTAAAGCCAACCAGCCAGCCTGTTCCGGTCATAATTTTGAGTCCAGAGCATCTTTTGATCTCTCCAGGATGATGTGGCCTAATATTTTACTTGGGGCTGACAACAACAAGAGCATGATTCTGCGCCAATTCTTGCAAAGACTTAGATCGTCCTTCTTTGGAGGTTTGACAAGGTAGCTCTTCTTCTAATCGGCAGGCATGTTTCCTTCTTTCCTTCCTTTCAGACCTTCTGCAATAGTGCTATGAGCATACCCGCTGTTGTCTCTGCGTCTGTTTTCAGTGTTTCTGGAGGAATTCTGTCTGGTTCTGCTACTTTCCCGGCTTTCAGCAACTTTATGGAGTTCAGGATTTCACTTCTGCTTTTGTTGGAGGGCTTATGTTCACTGGTAATTCTGCGGTTGCTGGTGGTGGTCGTTCTAAGATTTTTTTTGAAGTGGTCAGCCTATCGTTTCCTTTGTTTCGCCTCTTTGCTAACTAGCTTTCCTTCACTGTCTTTTATTGGTTTCATTTGTGGTTATTTGATACAAATAATGTTGTCAGGTCTCTCCTACCAGCAGCCTGTTATGCTTCACTTGCGAGTGTGTCATAGAAGTGTCTTTTGTCTTTGCTCGCGCCCTTCTCCCCTTCTCTGTCCAGTGTAGTGTTTTATAGGCTGTGTTCAGTTCCTCTTTTCTTTGTTCATCCCTGCACTGTACTGGTTCATCTTCTGCTTCTCCATCACCATCTTCCTCTTCCTCCTCCATCAGATTCCATGTGTCCGTGGAGATCTATTCCTTGTCTTGCTTCTTCTTCCTTCCTAACCGGTTATGCAGGTTCTCTTCCACATAGCTTTCAAAGATTTCCAGCGTTCTTCCACGCAGATTTCTTTAAGATGTTGCTTAATATCTCCCGTATCTTCCAAATGACTGGCTAAGGTGAAGATGTCCTTTGTAGTTTTATCCTTCAGTTCAGTTTCTGTTCTGGGTGGATGTTCAACTTGAACTGTGCTCCATCATCACCAACTTCTTTCAATTGAGGTCTTTCAACTTGATTTTGGAGGTAGGTTGCTTGCACTAGATAGTGGTGTGAGTGGTGAAAACCTACATCTGCTCCCCTTCTTCATCTGATCTTGTGTCCACTAGGCTGCGTCTCCATCTCCACTTTCTTCACATTGAGATGAAGTCGATCTGATTTTGGTAAAGTGTGTCCTGGTGTCTGATGAAATCCATGTCAAATCCATGTAGCTGTCTTATGAATATCCTTGTGTGTGTTTGTACACACTGCCTCCAATCACCAAATCGTTGGATACGCAGAAATTTGCAAACAGTTCTCTATTCTTATTCATCATATCACCGAGTAGTGCTTCTCGACCTATGATGAGTTCTCTTCCTGTGTTGTCCGCTAGCAGTTTTGCATTCGTGTCACCCATTAGAATGCATTTTGATGTCGCTGTGGTGGGGTCTTGTCCATTACTGATTGCAGTTGTGTGTAGAATTCCTCCTTCTTCTCTTGATCTGGATCATTTTTAGGTGCATAGCGTAGAATTGTATGATTGTGACTTTCCCTCCTTTCAAGTTGGATCTTGCTGTCATGAACCTGATTATGGAGGAGATTGGCTCCCACTGCATGAGAGAGAGCCATCGATACTGTCGGGGACATCATAATACTACTCGAAAACTCAGTGTGCTGTGCTCGTGGTTGTAGTCTGGGTGACAATATTGGAGTAGATTGTTGACTCCTCTCCAGTTGACAGTTTGGAGAGTCCACTTCCAATTCACCTGCTTTCACAGATTCCTAGCCTAGCACTTCCGTGCTATATTTTCTCATCTCTTTTGCAATTTGGACAGCCTTGCCAACCAGCTTCAAACATTGTTCGGACATCCCATGTCTCCATGTTTACTTTCGTTTTCACCGAGAGGAGAGAGGACACATCGGCCGATTGGTTTCCCGAAGGGTTTCACCAACTGGTTTCATTTCTTCTCTTCGATTCGAGGGAGGAATAAGTTTAATTTTATTTTCTATATTTTCTTTGTACTTTGAAGTTTGTTTAGCGATTGGATTGGTTTTCCGTGGTAGGGTTGCTAGCCGTATGGCTCACCCTTTCCTCTTTATCCGGGGTTAGGACCGGCTAGCAACTAGTGAACTAGTTAACCAGGTGAGGTTATTTTGTTACATGTCATCTCAGAAATAATTACATTGCGAATTCAAGGTGATACATGAGTGAGATCAGATTATTTTCTTTTACCCTTAATAAATATTTATCTCGTCTATGCAAATATCAGCTACTTCTTTCTTTCTTGATGACATAATACACAATTTACTTTGATCACACAATCCGTAGAGTTATGATAGAGATGAAGTGGTTTGCTAATTATCTATGTGTGAACGTAATTTCAAGGTAAAGTATTTCAAAGAACTAAATTTCAAAACATTCATATTTGCTACCATTCACTTTCTAAATGTTCATTTTTAAGCCCATCATATTATTCCTTTTTGTAGGAACGTGTTCTATCGATGGAACAAGAAGTATTAACTCTGCGCAGTATTGGTGATAATCCTGGACCTAGAGAACTTCTACTTGGTGGTCAGTTGGAACGTTTGAGAGGAGATTATATTCATCTGGAAGAAGAGTTACAGGTCAGTTGAACTGATCATCTCTTACTATTTTTCTAGTCTTATAATTCCATGTTTCTATTTGAATTTATGTGTACTTTTCTCGTCACTCAGGCAACGCGTACTCGTTTACAAGCTGCTCTTGGTGCTGAAGCGAAAGCTTTGGAAGCTGAGAAGACTGCCAGTGAACGCTTGGCTGCAAGTGTAGCAGAGAGAGATGCAGCTGTAGATAGAGCTAGAGCAGTATGCGAAGCCCATTATACTGCAATGCGTCGACGTCTGGAAGCAGATTGGGCAAATGAAAGAGAAATTAATACACGTCATGCTGAAGAAAAAGTTGCAGGTGTGAAGTAAGAATCACAATTTGCACATATACCTGGGTCTAGAATTCGAGCATTGTGATCATTTTCACCCCATAAAATATCTCTAACTCGTGTTTGCGGTTATTGTTGACATCATATTAGGAAAGATAAAACAGGCTTTGCATTAAAAATATAGTGGTCAGTAGTTGCGCCTATAAAGAATTAGATGAATACACATCGTAGCCGCTTTATTTGTTTGTTAATTTCGTTTTTTATCGTAAACTGTATAACAACTAGGCTCTATAAATTTTAGGAAGAAACTTATTGGAATGCAACAAGAAGTTGAAAGGGTTACAAACTTATATCAAGAAAGTCACTTGTCTGCTAAAAAGGCCGTGGAAGATGCTCTTATGGAGGTGAGTAGTAACAGAATGCTGATGATATGATTTTATGGGAAAAATTGTATTTATATGAATCTTCGCATAATCAGGTTGCGGTGACTTGTAGGTTGGTGTGTGGAGCTGTGGCTCGGTGGTTTACGAAGATGACTGTCAACCAGTGGGTAACGGGTTCGAAACCCACTCCGCTTCGCGAGGTTTGGGCAGCCGGGTATTGTCACTGGTCCTCACATAGTAGGTGTGGCTCTTTACATACTGGACGAAAGCGCATACGGTGACTGAGTGCATAGATTGGTGTATGAACCTATGTGCACTTTTAAATTGGCTTTGTTGTTTACTACGAATAGACTAACATTGGGCTAAAATAATCCTCGTGTTTGGGCCAATCGGTAAACCGATATTTGTTGTGTAGTGTCAGGATGCCTGAATACTGCCATAATAATCTATCTTATATTTATATGAAGTTAAATTTACCGTTTTTACACCTTTTCCTGTGCCGAGATCAGTAAATTATTTCTTTCACATTTTCCAAGATTACTCCTTTATTAGTCTATAGTGAGTGGCATCATTGTTTTTAATTCTTGGCAAGATGGCTTTTGTTCCTCAATATAGTAAAAGCTTTCTATTCTGGTCAGTTTTTTATTTGTGTTCGTCCGTGAGGTTTTGAAGTTATTGACATCTGAAGATTGATTTATGAGCTAGCATCCTGACATATTTAACTAGGTAGCATACTGTACCAGATTGTATTTTTTGCGAACGACTTCGTAGCTGATAATAAAGTTGTGAGTAGTAATAGATAATTTATCAATCATTTCGGTAGCTTTAATCTTGTACTTTGAGAAACATTATGAGTATTGTCTTTAACACGTTGCTATTTTGTGTTTATTGGTATTCGCGCAAGCCATTTGTGTGTCGAATGTCTTCACAAATGGTAATTGAAGTACTGATATGAATTGTGTCAACAACCGATACGTCTGGATTGGAGATCATTTATTGTCTTCACTGGTTCGCCTTGTGGATGCAAATTAATTTTAGATAGCTTCTTCAAGTAAAGATATTCACTTAATCTTCTAATATAGTGCATTTAATGGTTATCGTACATCATTGCTAATTTGTAGCATGTATCACTATCTAACATGAATACTTTATTTAAAAATTCATTCCAGGCCATGAAATTAAGAGAAGCTGAGAGAATGCGCTTTTGGAGGGAAGAGCTTCCTGAACAGGTAATTGTCGGGAACTTCAACTTATCCTGTTTTATCACTATCTACCTGCAAACACTATTCAACTTGAATATTGATAGGGTAAAATTGGTCTTAGTTGGTCGGAGGCAAACGGTAGGAAGCCCTGGACCTAGGTTTCGTGCTTTCTGGCACTCGTCAGCAAAGTGTATCTGCAACCTCGACCAAACTGATGTCCCGCCTGAGATTCGAACTCGCGTCACTCGAACTCGTGCACTCCCGTCACCAATCAATGCATGTAAGCCAGTCCTACAGGAGGTCAGTTGCGGCCCGAATAGCTCAGTGGTAAAGTTGCTGACTACAACACTCGGTGACGCGAGTTCGAACCTCAGGCGGGACGTCAGTTCGGTCGAGGTTGCAGATACGCCTTGCTGACGAGTGCCAAAAAGCACGAAACCTAGGTCCAGGGCTTCCTGCCGATTGCCTCCAACCAACTAACATCTACTAATGTGCACCGCGATGCTGAGCTTCCTAGCTTGGTTGTCACATTGCAAATATGATCGATAGGATTCGGTCTGCACTCAGGACTAGACAACATGAAATTGGTTGCACTCCCGTGACCAATGAATACATAAAATTAGTCTGTTTATAGCTGTATTGTCAAGCCTTCCATATGACGTCAATACACGCAGTTTTTCGTAAATCTTGTGAAAGGAGTTTGAATAAATTATTTATTTGCGATTAGAGAATTGACTATCTACATCTTAAAGTCCCATCACCTGACCGATAGCTGCTACCTTGACGTTGTGGTCGGGGTTGCATGTCACAATGACCCAATGATCTATGCTGGTGGAACGCTCGTTCCTTTGAGGTCCTACCATACCAGAAAGGTCTGTAGGATAGTGATTAGACGAAAAGCAGTTACCGTTGTGGTGTAAATTACTACACTATGATGGGAATCTGAGGGCGAAGTTGTACTGCTGTTAGCTGGATGGGGTGTGACAGCAGTAAGGTGTTTCCCTTGGATGACCACCAGTGCTATGCTGATGCTGCCTTCTCAGTGGAAGGGGTGGGGGTTAGAAAAGGTCGGCCCCAAAAATAACACACTCCACCATACCCCATAGTCTGGCTGGTCGGCGGTGTTGGTTCATTTGTCGTTATTTACGACCATCTGGCCCCAAAACAACTAAAGTTCAAAATGATCATACACAAAAGGCTGCGTGTGACAGGCCTCAAGCAGATGTCCGATGGGCTCTGCGGTCACACAAATCTCTTTCAGGCACTTAAGAAGAAATAATCTTCCATGGTGTAGGTAGACGGAAAGTGTTAACCGCCCTCACAACTCTGTCAGCACTCAAGTTTCCTCAGACTGCTATCCACCTCCCTCATCATTACCTTCTAATCTTCCTTCATGTCTCCAATTAACAATACTACATCATGTTTAATTTCTCCTAGTTCTGCAGCCTTTGACAACGATCTGAGTTCACAGAAGAGCATCCTTGGTCTCCGTAAACCAGCGGCAAATTACATATTGGAGCCTTCAATGTCCGCACCCTCCGTCAAGTTGGTCAACAGGCTTCGTTGGCAAAGACTCTAGCAACTCGGGGCATGGATGTGTGCTGTGTTTGTGAGACACACATACCGGATCCAAGTATGGTTATTCACCTAACATCTCCCGACCAATCTGGTGAAACCGCAAAATTTACCCTTCGAGTTTCTGGCGATTCGATGGCTATCTCTCGGGATCTTGCAGCTGTAAGCACAGCATTAAACACTAGGGTAGAAAGCGCACTACTAGATTGGATCCCAGTTGATAGTCACCTCTGCGCTATGCGGCTGAACGGCACAGTGAGAACTAAAAGGAACAGTGAAACTTGCCGTTGTCTCTTTGTAATCTGTGCTTACGCACCCACTGACTGCAGTTCGGATGAAGTTGAGGACGAGTTCTACCGAAAACTGTCTGGCATCCTTTCGAAAGCCAAACGCTTAGATGTGGTGGTTGTTGCAGGTGATTTCAAAGCACAGGTGGGTAAACTGAGTGAGGCAGAAAAGGCAGTTAGAAGGTACTTTCGTTATCCCGGCTTGACGAACAGATAGCGGTGGTCGCCTACTACAGCTGTGCTTGGATAACTGCCTCCTTTTAGTTAGCATAGATTTCGGAAACTGTCTGACGTGGCGTCCACTGGGCTCAACTCAGCGATGGACAGTGACAGACCACACTGCTGTCAGTCATTGCTAGAGAGAATCGTTGGAAGACAGCCACTCCTGGAGTAGGTGTTTGGCTAGCGACCACGCATTGGTCCGAGCGCGTATATGTCTGCGTCTCAATGGACGTAAGAAACATTTGGCAACAAAACCACTACGAGTGGTGCTGGAAAACGGAAATACCAAAGCCGTGTTCAGTGAGAAGTTGGCACTGACAAAATGCATAGTCCACTGGACTTCTTGATTGGCAACTTGAGAATGTGATGTTTCTCTCCACCTAAATGAAAATTGTTGTTCCAAGACTCGTCTTCCCTGGTTCCTTGTCTAACAGTAGGGAGTGAAATGGTTGAGCTCACCAACCACTTCACTTACCCTTATGAAAGAAATCTCTCCACGGGTAGAATAAGTTCTATTGTCCTTGGCTTACTTATACCACTTATAACATCACCATGATATTCAGTTGCGTATTTAGGTCGAGTGCACTGCCCTGCCCGTGTTCAGTGAGAAGTCGGCTAGGCAGTTATCAGACAAAGACTATCACTCATCCAGAAGAAGCTTAATGCCATCTCCAGGCTTCTGTTAAAGCAGCGCTCGAGACCTTAGCGACAACGAAAGGTCGCTAAAAAGAGCTAGTGGATATCAGCAGTTCTTCTTCCGAAATAATAGATGCACGTGAATGCATCCCTGCAGGCTCTGAATACAATGGAGAGCGAGCACGACTTAGAAGTAGATTGAGAAAAAGTCTACGCAACGACTGTGAACAGTAGTGGGCAGCGAAGGTTAAAGAGATGGAAAGGCAGCGGCGACTGGTAACAGTAGACAGTTATTTAGACTTATTAAGGAAACTGGGGGGAAAAGGTCGACTGCGGTTAGTGAGGCTATAGCGGAGAAGGATGGATCTGCGATTCACTCGCAGAGGAGACGACTGGGACGATGAGTAGAACACTTCGATGAGCAGTTTAACTGGCCTCCAGCCAGCATTGAGTTGCCCGCTATCCAGTCGGATCCTGAATGGAACATTGGGATAGGCCCCCAACACTAGGAGAAGTTGAGAAAGCTGTAGGTAACCTGAAACGAGGAAGGGCAGTAGGACCAGACGGACTACCTGCTGAGGTATACAAGGATGGTGGTGGAGTGCTCTTAGTCAGGTTAACGGAAGTGTTAACCAGTATATGGGAATCAAATACGATCCCCTGTGACTTGTCTAAATCACTGATTATCCAGTCTTCAAGAAAGGCGAGAAGTCCCCTTGTGATAACCACAGAGGAATCAGCCTGACGAACATAGTGTCTAAGATCCTAAGTTCTATAATTCTTCGACGCCTGAGTGGAGCTTGGGAACAGCAGGCCCGAGAAAACCAGGCAGGCAGGCTTTAGACCTGGCCGTGGATGTATCGACCAAATATTCACACTGTGCCAGGTTTTGGAACACAGATACGCTTACCGGTGCCCGACACTGGCTGTATTTCTCGACCTGAAAGTGGGATTTGACTCCGTTGATCGAGAAGTCTTATGGCAATGTCTGTCACTGGAAGGTGTGCCTAGTAAGTACATCACTTTATTGAAGGCTGTCTACTCGAACACTTGTGGGCATGTTAGGGGCCATGGTGAGATATTCGGGGATCTGCACTCGTCGAGTGGTGTCCTTGAAGGATGCCCACTGTCTCCATTCTTATTCAATTTTATCATAGATATTCTCATGGTCTGCTTCTCGTCACCTGACTACACAGAGGTTAACCTAATCGGTGGAGAATTTTTGTTAGATCTAGAATATGCAGATGACATATTCCTGTTAGGTGAAGTCGCTGACAAGATGCAGAGTCTTCTGGACATTTTGAGTGGCAACTTGAGTATGTTTGTGATTCGTTTCTCACCACCGAAATGCACATTGCTGCTCGAGGATTGGTCTTCAACGGTGCCCCACCGCGGCTAACAATAGACAGTGTAGTGGTTGATTGTGTCGACCACTTTACTTACCTGGGAAGTAGGATCAGCCCTATCCTGTTCGATGAAATCTCTGCATGGATACAAAAGTCTCGATTGGCTTTTGCCAACCCTCGCCACCTCTGGCGTCACTGTGATATCCGATCTTCTATTATGCGTGGCGTGAACTGCACAGCAGTCCGGTCTGTTCTGCTGTATGGCTTTGAAACATGGTCATTGAAGGTGGAAGACATGAGAAGGCTTCAAGTGTTTGACCACCGTTGCCTTCATAGTATGGGCCGTATACTGTGGTGTCACCACGTGAGTAACGCAGAAGTCAGGAGTAGAATTTTAGGGAGAAGAGGTAAGTCAGTTGATGAGGTTGTGAACCTTCATCGACTGAGATGGTTGGCTCCGACGCGTGTTACGTATGGCTAGTCGCCGATTGCCTCATCACACAATGTTGGCCTAAGTAGGCCCACTTGATGTACTGATATGAGGTGTTGCAACGCGAACCGTTACGCAGTAATGTTTTGTCCTGTGTTGATATTAATGATGATGAAAGTCTGTTGATTCGAAATAAATATATACAATCGCTTTCTTTATTGTTGTAACTTGTCCTCAATGATACTGTCTGTGTTCATTATGAATAACCAGTTTATCTCAATACAGTATACCATCTTTTTCTGATTGTTTATTTATTGTGTTTGCTGTTATCTTATTAGTTGGCTTAACAAGTCAGCCTTCAATCCTATCGAGTTCGCCACTTTTGCCCCTTGTCGACTGTGGCTTGCGTGTTGTTAGTCGATATTTTATACCGAATGCCAGTGTTATGTATTAGTGATTTTTTAATAGGAACTCACTAGTGACCACTTTGCGAACATAATCCGGGCCTACGGTAGTGACTAGATCAGTTATGGCTTGCATAGCTTAGTCGTTAAGGTCTCTGACTTCAGCACTGAGTGACACAACTTCGGGTCGCCTAGGGAACACCAGTTTTCTCATGGCTGTGAATACGCCTTATTGATGAGTGCTAACCAGCACGAAACGTAGGTTACCTGCTGATTAACTTTCACCGTTTGAACCCACTGCTTTTTGTGAGGAACGGACAGTAAAGTTCGACTTCAAACACCCTGCGGGTACGTGCGTTCATATGAATTTAACGAACATGACCTTTAAACAGCACCTATCTATGCTTTTTTTGGAAACATCCTATTGGGTACTTCTCTTTTTCTTACCTGACTGAAAAATCGAGAACATTTAGGACAGGAACTGATATAAATGGTTCCATAAAAGCAAATGAATGCGTGAATGCAATAAAAAATGACCGGTCCCGATGATTTATCTTTCAGTGGCAGTGTTATAACTGGGTAAACACTCAGACAGGCTGCAGGTATCGAGGTTGATACAATAATTTTTGTTGTGACTTCGCAGTCATTCTTATATTCTTATTAACTTTCGATCAGTACTCTTGATGAATGTTAAGCGTTTATTTTTCATTTTATAGATTGAAATTGCTCGGCAGACATGGATTTTGGAGATGAAAGCACAGCATACTAGTGTCAATCCTGATAACAAGGACTTAAGTAAGTGTTCGATAATTATCCGCTTCGTCCAGAGTTCTGTTTTATGGCCTAGTTGATGACTACTTTCCGTAAAGGAATCTTACCAAAGTGGTATTTATGAATACTGGTAGGAAGCGGCCCAAATCGAAGTGAGCATTCTAAGTCATCAGCCGCTTGGGTAGGAGTTTTGGATTTCAACCTTGTTTCATGCTACTGTGTGGGGGAGGGAAAATCCCATTGGAGAATTTTGTCTTACAGCTGATCAATCAGAATAACTGTCAAACTCCTAACCTAGGGGGTTTACTATCTGAAAAAAAACTGTATATAAATGGTGTGCTTTTTGTAGAATGAATTTGTCTTGTCACAGGACGGTCTTTGTTTTCTGATTTTTGCGGCTCAGTGAAGTATCAGGTCTGAGGGAGAACTGTCGCTATTCGTATCCAGTCTAAGTATCTCATTTTGTTAGAAGTGTTCTCGTATTAATCTGTCAGTCACTTCCACTCGGTTACTTCAAACACTTTGAGGTATTTCAACATGGTATTCGTGATAGCGTAAGATAACATTATATTCATTTATGTTCACTCTGGGATTACTGCGAGCTGTCGCTCGTTGGTTTAGGCATCTGTCTTCCAACCAATAGGTCACGGATTCGAGGTTTGGGTATCTAGGTAGTATCATTAGCCCCTCACACTATGGGTATAGTTTATTACCTACTACATGCATATGTACAACGTCGCTGAGATCGCTTCGATTTGAGAGCATTGGGTAGTTGTTTCGTCCTAGTTTGCGATCAATCATTGGTGTGCACTCAAGACTTCACAGAGGATTAAGTTCAGGGCGACTAGGTCGCGTGAGGAATATTTTATCGTTCAGCTACCTGATTTGGATCCAGCAATTCATTTTCCCAAACTTCTGAGTTGATCCATCATGAAGTCGTGGAAGCTGCACTGTTAAGGAGTCCCAAAAAAGAAAGAGACAGCTTTCCAGTGCTCCCAAGACTATATAAGTTCACCAGCTAACCTGAAAACGTGATAAAAATAGCTTTGAAAGCAATCATTCCTCACAAAATCCGCAGTTGCGTATATATAGCTTAGTTTGTTTCTTCATTTTTTTTGTAGAGGATAAAGGCATCCAGACGAAGAAATTTGTATCCGTAGATAAAGCTGTTAATGCATCTCACATCTCCACGTCTTCCATACATGTTCAAACTGTAAGTTACCATTTTATTTTATTTTTCAATAAATCTATCAAATGTTAGGATGAAATGAGATTAATTTTATCTACTCTATCTAAGTGGTAGGCTGTGAAGATGTCTCATTGGATTAGATAATCCACTTTTAACCAGGGGTTGAGTTAGGTTCCGCATACGAGGGTTTAGGTAGTCATGATATTCACATAATAGATACAGCTCATATCCTAATTCCTGAACATGCAAGTGATTGATGAGTTACAGACATATTATTACCAAGTTATATTATTCAGGTTATTTTCTTAATTATAAGTGGAATAAATGTTGTAGTGCTTTGACTTTAACTTTTCTTTATGTTCTATATAAAGTGAGGGAACTGAAGAGAGACTCATGGTTAGACAATGTGAATGGTATGACTCGAAGTTAGTTGTTTGTTTTTTCATTAACTAAATGGTTTTTTTTGCATCGTATTACCTCTTTATACATACTCTCACTAGTTTTGTCCTCCTTTCTTTCCTTTTTTAATGCTTCTAATTTACTGGCCTTTTCGCGTACATTTTTATGAATGCGTAATTTGTTGTGCAAAACTTCCGCTTTGTTGCACTGATCTCCATTTTTCACAGCTTATCTGAAATTTGAACATATGTCGCTCTGTGTCTTTGACTACCAGAATTTGTAGTTAAGATTATCTGATTGCTATTGTCCTTCTTATGATTTTTATTATTTAAGCAAGCTCTTTGCTAACTGAACTTTCTGTAGGTTAAAAGTACGATGCCATCCAATTTTGAACTATTATGCCTGGAATTGTGAAAATATTCTCAGTGTTCTGTATATTTTCTCATCAGATTAAAAGAACATAATTAAGAATAACCAGAAAAAGAAACAGATGTAATTGTTCACTTGGTTATGTGTCGTGACGACACGCACATGAAACCGTCACTGAATATAAAAACGGAGTTTCCTCATATTTATGCAATAACTTATTTTCTTTCTCTTTATAGGAACTCTGTGATTTACTATCTGTAAAGTTTGGATTAACTTTAAATGATCCAACACTGATCAGTTTTCAGAAGAGTGAATTTAAATCTACTATTCTCCATAAATATCCTACATTATCTCAGTACTTGTCTATAGAATGCCTTCATTACTTATGTACACATTTGACTGAAACATCCAGTATGAATTTATCTAGCTTGGAAAGAGAAATTTCGAATTCTGCCCATGTTGTTCTCAAACACCTATTTCAGGGATTCTTGAAACAGATCGATGGAGAGGTAGACAGACTAGTGAATGAGTATAGAGTGAGTTTAGAAATCATATTGTTGATTTTATGCGTCATTTACATATTCTGTCTTTTCTGAAGTATGCAATATTTTCGCGTCATTATGACAACCGAGTGGACTAGCTATATTTCAGTTCGTTACGAGTTTCTTCAAAGCGTTATTTGAAGCGATTTCTTAATATCGGAGTAGAAAGTATACACTGTGGTAGATTTAAATTTTCTTTTGCTGTCTGCTTCGTGGTTAGTAGCGGGGTCCAGTACACTCGTTCCGTTCTGTTCGGGACTCACCGGCTGAATGTATCTGCATATTAGTGAGTGATGCTGTTCTCACTGAGACTCGAACCCAGTACTCATCTCTTTAAACGCCAAAACGTTATACACTAGGCTACTGGCGCACGAGAGCCACCTGTTGTTCAACGGGTGATCAATTGCTGTTTATGAATACTTGTAATTTCCTGTTGCTTTACTGGGTCAAATTGCTCGACCTCCATTCTAATCTGTTTATTAGATGTGTCACAGTGACACACCTTTAAGTAAACTAAAATGGTAGGGATTTGCTTTGGAAACTGATCGGATGCTGTCCTTGCAGGAATATCTATTTCCGTAGGATCTGCATGTCTGAAATAACCGTAGCCAACTCACTGACTCTAGTAGAAGTGGAGTACGTGATCTGTAAAGCTATTGTCTTTCCTATCACTAATCGAAAAGCCTACTCCCTATAGAAAGTTATCCACATAGTATGTAGTGTAACTTCTGTGCTATTCAGTACTTTTCGTGATTTTTGAAGACCTGATTTCTTTGACAAAAGCTATTCATTCTCCATCTACACTTAGTTCAATGGACTAAAGTTATTTTGCGGCACATTAGCATGATTCGCTGTCAAAACTCTTTTCAAAGGTTGGGAGTAATGTAAAAGGAATAAAACTCAAATTAACAACAAGTGTCGAAGTTACTATAGTTTCAACTTCAATTTCATAGTATACTTGGTTTTGCTTTGGAGAATCCTCTATCTTACATTATTATTTTGGGGAATTTTGACGATATTCAGAAACGTCTGTATCATATGAGTGAGTTGGAACATGAACTGGTAAGCAAAAGCCATGCATATCTTTATTGTCACCAAATAGATGTCATAGATATGGTTCGTATTATTGTAAGAGTATGATACTTCAGTTATTTAATATTTGTAGTCGTACGGTGTTTAGTCATGTCATAAATGTGAAAACTGTGGTGCTTTGATATATTGCACTTTTTCTTCAGTTAACTGATGGCAACGACTAAATAGTTTAACTTGTTGGAACAAAAGTGGAAGTGTGTTTATCATGTATTCCGGGAGGATGTAATACGCACACTTGAATGACAGCTAACTTTGTACAAAAGATCCTCCGATACCAGGCCGGATGAAATAGAGGAGAAGATTGAACTAAATGAGAGGATTTATTTATCCGAGAAAAAAAGTCAGTCCGAAAACACGTGTGTATATATACATGACATATAACCTTGTCCAGAATTTAAGACAAAAACGTAGTAAAAGTAAGTATTAACCAATCAGCGAATTACTTTGAAAATGGGGAGGGATTAACTACTGGCCATTGCGTAAAAATAGTGCGGAAACGGCATTTTAAAAATGTTTAGGTTCATAAACAATGTTTTATGCAAATCTGGGACCTTCTAACGGTATATGAATTACTGTCATATTAATATGTAGATCCTTTGAACAACTGCTCGGCAATAAATCCATTATTTGTCTTGAATCGTTTCATCATTCTATGCTAATTATAATTACTAGCTTCTTATACAATTTAAGGGTAAAACTTCAACACTGCGGTCGAGTGTAAATCTGTTTTATTTCATTTCTTAAGGGTATTACAGAGTGAGATAGTGTTATTTACTGGATAACATTTCTGACACTATTCATTGTCTATAATTTTATAAATTGGATATAATATGAACAGTGAATTGTGTCCGAAATGTTATCTAGTAAATAGTACTATTCTTTTGTGCTGGATAACTCCTTTATTTATTAAAATAAGATCAGGTAGATTATACCATAATCGAGTCATCTTTGTCTATGGTTAGTGACTTTCAATACTGCAATAAATGAATACGGTTTATCTGCGAAATATAGTGTGTTCACACATTAAATATTGTGCACTCTGATCACTCATTGGTTTGTTCAAGCATTTTATGTCAATTAAATAAATCAGTTATTGCAATCAGAAGTGTAGAATAGGCAGGGTAATAAGGGAATAATTAAATGCCTTGGCAACATACCTGACACAAAAAGAGAGATCACTAGTATAAATTTTGGATTCGCACAATTTTAGGAACACGTGAAAACGATTTTTAAGTGTTCTTTTAGCTAGAGCTACAGAAGACTTAAGTAAGCATTTCTAATAGTTTCGACACGAATGGCTTGATATCGATCATATAAAGACAGGAAATCAGTGTAGAGCCATGCACACCAGTGCATCAGTTTAAGTTACCACAATTCACAGTAGCATGCAAGAGACAGGTAGATTAAACAAGACTGATGGGAAAGTAGACAAAGATGTATTAAAGGAGAAGGGATTTCACAGTGAAGGTTAGTCAAAACATTCAAGCTTTGGAAGAAATTGAGTGAGTTAATACATCTGTACCATTCTAACTGATTTTCAGCCATTTCACTAAGAGTTCTCAACTACTAATTCCTATCGTTTCGGTGACTGAAGTCAGGTAGTATACCTCTCCTCTCTACAAAGCTCAGACCAACAGTCAGAGACTTCATGGATTGGTGTCACATCTTTGTCTGGCCACCGTGAGCCGTTTCCCGACCTAATCGAACTTCTTCCAGCATTGGACATCGAGGTAGGTGATGGCTCAGTGAGTGTAATACATGTCCAAGCCACTTTAGTTACTGGAGGTGGACAACTTCATCGACTGGCCTGCCTTTCTTGCCTATTACCCTTTGTCTGACCTTGACATTGGTAACATGGTGGTTGGATGTAAAGTGAGCAATGATGGGAAGGCACCTGTGGTGAGAAACCTATAGTCTCATCGTATCATCTACTTTTAACGGGTGTTACTGCACCACAGTACACTCGTCCTTTAGTAGGTAGTGGAGCATCTCGCCAGTTGACGCGGGAGATGAGGTGAGTTGGCAAATATCAAACGGGGATTCTGGACCCGAATTGAGATTTCGTCGGCAACCACCCGTTTTGAGTTGATACGACCTTGTAAGTGAGTGAAATGGTTGACGCATTCCACTGCTTGGCTGCCTATTGTTAAACTGGGAGTAGTTGTAGACCAGTTTTGGAGCATCATCGTAAATTTGACAGGTGTGAAGTGCATGTGAAACACACTAAGGTTTTTATTGAAGGGGTTCAGAAGACCCTGTATTTTGTTGGTATTTTCACCTAGCAGGACGTTGTCTGGATAGCCCAGGTTAACTAGAGGTCCTTGAGAGAGTTGATCACTCCGTGTGAAGTCAGAGGTACCTAAGGTTATGGTCAGGAAGGGTGAGAGCGGGTATTCTTGATGGATCCCACTAGTTGTCATGAATTCAGATGACAACTGTGAATAGGTGGTGCAATGGCTGTATGAGTTTGAGTAGAGAGCTTTGATTTGGATTACTTGATTGTTGGGTACTCTTTTCATTGGCAGAGACCATGACACCACCTCACGGTTGACAGAGTCGAGTGCTTCCTTCAGATTTAGAAATATGGTGAGTGTTGGGTACACCGGTAAGGATATCTGTGTTGCATAAGCTTTCTTGAGGTGGAAATATGAACGATGCACCCTTGTTCAGATGTGAAACATGCTTAGTTTCATGAGGTTTGCTGTTCTTGAGCTCGATTTATACGTCGGATAATTATGAGCCTGTGGGTCTTGGGCACGATATTAGTCAAAATGATTCCTCTATGGTTGTGACAATCAGACTTCTGTAGTTTATTAGAAATGGAGATAATTAGGATTTAGGTCAGTCTGACTGGACTACACCAGTGAGGTCATGAGAGCTAGCCATTTGGTCTCTGGATTCTAGTCAAGTGAAGTTTCAGGATTCACAGCAGTGGGGAGTTGTGGTCTAGTGAATAACCACATTAGAATCCTACCTACTTGTCACATGAACACACCATATATACTTGGTTTAAGATTCGAGAGTTCTAGTGAGCAATGTCCGCTGTCCGATTTCATAAGTGAAAAGCTGCAGGTAAAAGTATCGGCGATGATGTATTTGGATGGGCATGTTGTTTTCTCACGGAAATTGTTGGCAATAATCTCGGAATCAGGGTTGAAAAAGTTATATAAGGTATGACATTGACTTGGAAAAGTAAACGCAAAGGAAGAGGGTAAGTTATGTTTTATTGGGTGTCGTATACTACTGAGCTTTCCCGCGATCAACTCTTCGGGTGCGGAAACCGTAGGAGGCTAGTTCTCCTTGAGGTACCTGAAAAAAGAGTTAGTGCGTTACTGTAGAGTCTATGGGACATCTATTTGAGGCCGGTCTTTTTAGAAGTATAAGATATTAATTTGCAGCTTTGAATCCGATCATTAGTCGATATCGCCGACCCCAGTATGAGCGGAGTAGAGTGGTGTGCTGTTTTAAGACTCGACCTTTTCTTACCTCGATCTTTTCATAGGGAAGGCAGCATCGGCGTGGCACTCCGGGGCCTCAGCGGGAAGCATCTTACTGCTGTCACACACCCATCAAATCTGTAGTACTCCATCTACTTTTGTAAAAGTGGTTTGTCATATGCATACTTCATTTTACGTTCTCTTTCAAAGGCTTACACATACTACTAAACAAAAGGTTTTATAAAAAATCATAGTATAAATTTGAGTTTTAGGATAAAAGATAATTGCGTTTAAAGTTTGAGTTTTTTTTGAGTTATTTTCAGGAATTTGTGTTAGCACTTTCCTGTTACCTAGTTCTGGAGATGTGAAATGTCTTCTGTATCTCATTTGAATGTAACTTGAATTCATACTTTTGATTAGACAGTTGCAATTGTGTATAATTAATTTTTGTATTTTACTCATCCTAGGTGGCGCATATTTTTAATGAGAATGCAGACAAGAACTTCCCAATATTTACTTCACTATCAAACTCTTTGAATAACGAATCTACTAAGTCAACTGAAATTATTGAACAATCGTCTACAGATACCTGTACATTGAATTTTAGCTTCAAAAATTCTGAAATTCAGTTGTCTAAATCTGCGGATAGTGAATATCAGTCTTTGATCACGAAAATTCGTGTGTTAGCATTAAACTTGAGTGAATCAAATGAATGTTTACGCAAATTGCGTAATTCATCTTTAAATCGAGCACCAAACTCTTGTGAGCATAAATATATACAAGTCAGTGGTCTTGAAGCTCCTCATTACTATTCTACTCTGGAGAAGATTAAAGGTATGTGTTTTGCTTTACCATACACTTATATGTTTCAATATTAAGGCTTATGGATGTTAGATAGATTTCGAAGCCGTTTTCATCAGTCGATATCAACTATGTAACGAGTAGTTGTAAAATTGGGTCATTGGATTCCAGCTCAGTGACTTAACAGTAGTTTTTGGATTGGATGAATCTGGGCTAAATCCCCCATTTCATCTTGGATATGCACAAAGGGGAAGTTCTAATCTGGTACTTCCTGTTTTTTGACGATTCACTGATTGGTATCGATCTGTGGTGAGAACTGCCTTGACTTTCATATTCAGCTGTTTTTTTGAGCTTGTGGAATAGTTCAGATATACTATGATTTTTCAATCAACTGAAATGGATGCCTAAATATATTTAGCATACACATTTCAAGGTATTGTAACCCACATATGGAAATAGGTAACAAGTTTATTTTCTGTGACTTCTGTTAGTACAGATGTTACGATTAACTGAATTCAGATGCTGATTTCTACAACCGAGCTTACAAAACACATTTAAACAACTACGATGAGATAAAATTGAGAAGGAAATCAGTCCAATTCATTTAACAGCTGGAAATAATTCTTTGTATCACAAGTGAAACTTAAACCTCAATATAGGCGTAAAACTTGAACAGTATGGTAGTGGAACAGTTGTATTTACTGGATAATGTTTCGGACATAATTTATTGTCCATATTCATTCACATCGAGTGAATCTTCAACTTTGAGATAGAGTTTATATAGTCCTGATTTTCTCTCGTTTTTTGTAACAGGGCTAGTAGAATTTTCCATATATCTGGAACAAGTACAGAATCGTTTCTATTGCATGTATTGGATGTTTCGATAAAAGAAGATTCGGTTATCAATCTCTCTCTGAACCCAACTATGTTAGTTTTTAATACTGTCGCTTTATCCTAACCTACTGTGTGATTGTACGTAATTGCATGCTGAGTTATAACCGAGCTTCCTTCTACATTTCTAATCTTGATTTAGCTAAGCTTTTTTGCTCCGTTATTCTAATTAATCCTGGTCGACTACTTTGACCTATGTATTTGACATCACAATCGTTGCTAGGTATTTGGTGAACCAAATTATTTCGCCTGGTTTTGTCTGCAGGATCTTCTTACCTACAAAGCTTGTTTCTTAGCGAGTTTCTTGATTTAAATGCCACTTTAATCCCAGTCTTATTGAGAATTCTTCGTAAGGCTTCTGAGGTACCTTCGTTGTATCGCAACATAGCAGAGGCTTTGAATTCCCTCTCAACCATGTTACCATTATTATAACCACCATTATTACTATTAGTAGTAGAGTTATTATTCATAACACCTATGTTACTACTACCACGACGATGATGACGACTACTACTACTACTATTATTTTTCTTTCTACTTCTTATGATTTAACTTATAGATTTAGGTGAGTGATTATTGATCCTCATGGTATTCTTGAAGTGTCTAATTTCTTGTCGTAGATTTCCTTTCCTACTAGTAAGCTTTCTTGCCCTATTACTTAGGCATTTAACTAAGCCCCACTTTAACTGAGACGGATTGAGATGATTTGAAGTCTGTGTAGCGATTTGATGTTTTTGAAAACAGTATTACTATCTGGAATTTTGTACCACTCTAATCATCATCACTGTATGAGTACAATCTCGCAATCAAGATTACTATTGCTTATTTATTATTGTCTCAGTTGTATTTTGTAATTTTTGTTTTCTATATTTAACTCATGCCTGTACGTCTACACAAATAGGACCTATGATCATAATCTTAATAGTTATCAATGTTTTCCTTTATTTATCAATTTTGTTAGTTCACAACAAAGTATTTTTCGCTCTTACTTATTAGAAGCAAAGTAGGTATTGGTAGGACTTTCAGTTCGCATTGGAAATAATGCAGTTAGATGCAACTCCGTTTATTATATTCTCGTTTCGTTTTGTTTAGCTAAAAAATGTTCAGACCACAAATGACGACCATAAGGAAACCAAAAGTGGTGTCAAGAAGTTGAGCAAAAGAACTCTAAACTATATATACTACACATGTGCGGTTTTTCACTTCTTGATGGCATCGTCCATCATCGTGGTCATTGTAGAGAGTACTATTCACGTTTGACTTCTCTAGGAAAGTCATTTTATCAAATATTCGTGGCAAAATTCGAAAATTGTTAACCTACCAGTTCCAAGTACTTGAAAATTTTTCGCAAGATACGCGATCTTTTATTAAACTCATACGAGAAGGTGACATCCACTTGTGAAATTTCAGCTAGACTTCGTCTGGAAATAGAAACTCAATGTAAATTACCATCGATGACAAGTACAAAGAGTTTGAACGTATTAGTGTACCAGATGTAAAGCAGTGAAACAAGTGAATCGTACTAATCGACAACTCTTGTTAACCTTGAAATTTCTGGAGGTCATTAACAAAACTAATGGAAATCGGAGGATGGAATTCTTCGGACTACCTACCAAAAGTCAACAAAGTGATTGCTTGGTGTCTGGGTCACTTCACTATATTTAATGGGGGACTATTGATCATTGGTTGTAAAGTTTCCAGTAGAGTATATTGTTATCATATCGCACCAGTCACTTAAACGTTTGCTCAGAGGGGTGTGAGTCGAAACCATTTTAGGGACACTAGGAATATCAGCTAACCATTCAGAGTAATTCTGAACGCATACTCCACTGTTTGAGAAGTGTGCATACCACTGAACCGTAGCTTTACAACGACAGCTAAGTACAGTTATAATCGAGGTAAATTTCTTGGTTTTAGATTATAACAGAGTTTACAAATAAACCAGTTGCATCCTTACAAGGTTGATTGTAGTATCACCAACAATGCAACTAAAAAGTGAACCAGAGGTTATACGTTTAGGACTAATTGATGTTATTCTTGTTTTCGATCATCCTTTTTGTACCATACTCTTTTACTTATTATCTTATTTCTCTCATATCCTTCCTTTAGTTGATGTTTTAAATTACGTTGAATTGTGTCAGTCTCGTGCTGCACAAACACTTCACTCAGAGCTTGCTCGTGTGCACAGAAGAGCTTGTAGGCAGTTTACTGGTCAACTTCGTCAAGCTTTACATGATGCTGGTGCACCGGTTTTTCCTACTGTTCGACGTGAACACTTTCCCGGCAAAAATACTAATTTGTTAAATAATGTCCCGTTAAATAAGGATTCCAGTCCTACCAAGAAAAATCCAATTGGTGCCAGTGGCTATTTTCGGGATTTGGAGTTAACAGAAGGATTTCAGACTGATGTTACATCACCAAAGTAATTCGCGCTACCTTTCAACTTCTATACATAACATTAGTGTATTGCTTGTTTGATAAGTTACATGAAGTCGAAAAACTTTGAAAATGATTATCATGTGTTAAGTTATACTTTGGCCTGATTCAACCTCAACTTTTCTGTGAACTTAAGAGTTAATAAGAATTATACGTTACTCGCGCATGTTTATTGATTATCTTAACGTCGCATTTTGGTTGAAGTAGAAACAAGTATTAGGGAATCTGAAGATGATTAGACTTAAAGTTGTCGTCGATCCAGTACAATCAACTGTTAGTTTAAGATAGTTATTGAAGAGCCTCATGAAGACCTGTTGATATAAATGAATGGGCTGAAGTTATTTCCATCGCAATAATGAAGTCACGACTTAGTTCACCGATAAAGTTGACACAACTCATTATTTATGTAACGGTCAGCTATTGATAGGTTTTCGTCTTGCTTGTAGGTAGGTACGTTTTTACAGGGAGGTGCGTAGACGAGTGTGAGTTTAGTGGTGGCCACAAGGATCTAGAAGGGAAAAGAAGAGAAAAACGTGAGGCGACAACTCAATAAGTACACAGGATGTACTTACACTTAATAATAAAAGGTGAATGGAAAACGGTAGTACTTGACAGCGAAGACGTGAGGGGGTCTAGAAATCGAAACTGGAGGGTGTATGAGTAAGGCTTCATATGCATTACAGTGCTCCTCCTGGTGAAAAAGCACTGTCTCAGTGCTTGAGTGTACCTTGGTAAGTTAGAGGCTAGGCATGGTGTGGGAAGCAGGTTCGAGTTGCACTCCAGGGATGGCTGCTGCGGACTCCTTACGCGTCTAACCGTGAGCGAGCCGGATTCCATCTCCGACACCAATAATATAGCGACCAGCTGTGGATAAGTTTCCGTCTAGCCTGTAGGCAGGTACTTTGTTGCATTTATCCCCGTATTACTTCTCATGGTAACCAAACAAAATAGTTTATAGTTATTTAGACTGAAAAATTGATTAGTTTCTGTTGAATTGCTTTAACTGATACCTAGATATTATGTGTGATCACATGTTGGCCTCCACTGCCAACCTCGTTACTAAACGTAATCGTTATTTTGACCGCAGGAAATGTCAAGGCATCCATATAACTAGCCTATATAAAAATATGGACCGACTACTTCTGTTCTGTAGATTAAAAGTGGAAAGTATTGAAAATTTATTCGCAGCAAAAGTTCAAGCATTTTATTATTTTACCTGCATATTCTTTAGTACTAAATACCTGTCTTTTTCATAGCCAAAATAATGATTCTTATGCTCGTTTATTTCTTCAGTATTCCGTCTATTTGGTTTTTCTTCTTTCTTCCTTTATACTCTTGATACCATTTTAGTTCACATACATACTTAGAATCATTACTACATGTTATCGACGAAGTTTGTGCTTCAACAGAAGCTAGATTTTATACAGATACCACAACTGGATCCCGCTTATTCAGCCGATTAACTGAATCAAAATCTCATTCAAAGGATTGTGCACAACACCAGCATATAGATAGCTCATACGTAAATAATGATGCAGAAGTTGTAGCTACTTCATCACAAAACGCTGTTGTACATACACCTTATATTATGCCAAAAAATAAACGGGATCGGTTATTGACACCTCAAAATTGTTTTGCTACGAATCCATGTCAGGAATTATCTGTCACAAGTTCACCTGATCAGTTTCCAAGTGAGATAAAACCCAATGATAGTTTATCACCAGTAAGTTCATTTTCAGTGTATTTCTGTTGTATATGACTTTATCATCACCACATCACACGTATTTGCTCTTCTGAAGTGGTTGTGAAGCAGATAATTGATGTTTCTTCCATCTGTGACTTCATCTTATAACCTATAATCTGTATCATAACCTCTTCACTGTGCATTTTTACCAACTAATTTTATGAACAATGATCAGTTGTATCCTATGAACTACTCCAAGGAGAAAAGAGCAATCACTCTAGTCACATCTGTATTATCATCAAATATTGAAAACTAACAAGCTGTTCAAACTTGTGGTTATTTAGGAACAGTTGATACCCTAACTCTTCACCTACGGCGTCATGGTACCACAGTTCAGTCTAAGACCAAACTGTATGGAAATGAACTGAAACGGAGAACTGTTTTTAGAAAACGTCAGGAGATAATAAGTCGCATTCTGCAGTTTATGTTGCATCTATTTTGCTTTCTTAAACCTTTTTGCTGATTACCAGTGACCGTTCCATCATTTGCTTCGAGAGAATCGGAATATATCTGAGGACCACCTCAAGTCAACTGATGATTTATCATCTGTCGTAACTTGTTTTATTCTGTAAAACATCTTGAATGCATGCAGTACAATGTCATAGTTTGATTTATCTTATCTGTTGTTATCCAAAGTTGGAGGGGATAGATGTTTCAAAATTATTTCTTTCTGGGGTTAAATGTTTCAATTATTTCATTTAGACGGATATTATTTTCACTGTTGAAATTTGATATCATCATATGTGTTTATTATTCTTTCTTTCTCATGAAATTTTTTCTTGATTTAGAAAATCGCAAATAATATTCATTCGAAGTATTTATTTCATACTGAAAATGTGTTACCCTCAACGCATTCCTCAAATTCAACTGTACAGATGAAATTTGTTGACAGTAACACTGGCAAACCGATACCAACACCTCGAATCACGCGTCCGTATTATGATAATTTTGTTAAACTGTCTAAGCCTATTAATTTGTTACAGTCTACACCAGTGGATTCGACGTGTTCTGACAGCTGTGATAGAAAACCTGTACACACAGAACTTTATAAGTTATTTGAAAATTTGTATAGTAATCAGTTACCAAATACTACTACTACTACTACTACTACTACTACTACTACTACTACTACTACTACTACTACTAATAATAATAATAATAATAATAATAATGATAATAATAATAATAACCACTCTGAAGAAAAGAAAGTTTTGCAATGATTATCTTCCTTTTATATATTATAGTCTTCCGTCAATTAGATAACATTACCTGAAGTTAATATTTTTGTGTATATTAACTTTATTCTTTTTTGTACATTACCTTATTTCTGTTCCGAGCGATCTTTGGATATTTCATTTACAGCTAATAATGTTCCCAGTTAACTTGTTTTCAGTCATGTGTTGCTGTCAAGGTGTTCAATGATTGTGCACTGCATACATTATATTTTTTATCCAGATAATTTATGAAATTTTTCTGTAGGTTTGTTATTTTCATTTACTTCTTCAGCCTTTATTGAGTTTCTTTTGTTTTTTTATGTCCAAGGACTTGAATATGTTTTTTTTACCTGTATAAATGTGATACTCAATCATTTATACATGTTTTCAACAATGATACTCGAAACGTAGATTTCTGAATAACAAACAGTGAGTTCTATTAGGAAGCTGCGACGAAGTTGGTTGTATTCAACTGTTATTTTTCAAATGACTTATTGCTTTGCGCTTGTAATGTGGCTTTAGTTTGAACCTCTTTTAATGGATCAAGCACACACAACTATTAGAGAAATGTCTGATGAACTGAAGTTGTTTGTGGACTAGAATATAATTCTACTTTAGGAATGGCTTTCAGTAGAGCCTAGGACGCGTGTTTCTTTCTGTGCAGTTCTCATCAAGTGGGTATGCTGACACTTTAAAATGTATTATTCTATCACAGTTCACTAGTTAGTTTTTAAGTAAAATGCCAATTACTGTCTGACAGAATGTTCCTGATGAACTTCCCTTCATTGTTAAAAGTCAAATTAATTGTTGGTGTATAAGACTTGTGAATTAATATATCCTTCAAAGTAACTGTCAAGTGACAAAAACTTATGATAGTACATATTTGCGAATAGGTGTATTAGTGTCAAAATATTATTGTTATATATATGCATGCACAAAAAGACAAATTCTTTAAACCTATGTTAAGGAGTTGAACGCAGTTGTGCCGACTAACGTTATCAAAGACACCTTGCAAAATCCTACCTTCGATTTCACTTTATCTTCTAGCAGAGTTTAATTTGGGTACCGATATTCAAAAAAGAGGCTATTATTCTGCTTTAATCATTACCTTTTGCCTTCGCAGTGAAATGTCTTGTTAAAATTGTGGACCAAGGAAGTATTGTTTTTATGTCTACCTGTTGAAGGTTAATAAAATTTACTATATGGATGGATTTAACGTAAAAGTGAACTTGCATTGACACATCAGAAGTTATCTCATATTATGCTGGCAGCATCCTGTGCATACTATGACAGATAGACATTCTTCATATCAGTTATGCAACGTGGATTGGGTAATACAGTTTACTTTTTGTGTCAGTCACACTTGCGTTGACAACTTCAGTGATTGAACCTTGTACTCAAATGAGCTGTTCACCATTTTCCTGAAAATTTGGCCAAGAAGATGTTGAACAAATCGAAACATCTGACTTCCTTGTATTTTCACTATCCAGTTGTCTCTCGGTGAGATAACCAATTGTTGCATCAATTCCATTGACAGCTTAGGACTTATTGGCTGAAGTAGGTTTGGGGTGGATAAAGGTTCGAGGTATCCAGACTAAAATATGGCATTAGTGCATTAAATATTTGGCTGTTGGTCTGGGATGTGTAAGAAAATGTAGACTTCCCGGTTGGTTTCCGCATGACAACAGAAACCAGTGTTTGGAGACTGGCTGAAATGGCTCGGAATCCGTAGGAAAAATGTATTCACATATTATCTTATTTGTTACGCTGAATTGAGTATTTCCCCATTCCTCCTCGCTCTCTCTTGACCACGTTATACCACTTTTAACTGCTTCCTTGATTTCTTTATGACTACTTAGTTTGTGCCCAGTCAGAGTTTACTTGGTTTTGAAAGATGGAGATTGTTCACATTACTCACTAATTGTCTAAAACATTTTGCTAATTTCATTACATGGTCCTGTCTATACATTCATCGTCTATGGAAGTGTTATATTTATTCAATTTGGTATAGGTAAGCCATTCTTCGCTTTATAGTTCGTGCATGATCAACAGTTGAAAAGAAGAGTTACTAAATGTAGAGAGTGAATCCCCTTGCTACCACTCATATCTCGTAAGTTTTCATCCTTCTCCCAAGGTGTTTTGTATTTCTCTAGACCAGAGTAACCACATAATGGAAAGTGGGGTGTAGTTTGAGTATGCGTGATGCCCGTTGCATCGTTTTCTATTTTCTTCACTCCATAACCTTGCATATGTTTTCGTGTAGATTAATGGTTATAGATAAAAATGGATGAAAGCTTTTACTTACTACAACTATGAGAACGGTTGTATTCAGGTAAAAACTTCAACTGCCTTTATTCGTGCGTAGCCGTACTAATTCCTACAGCCCAAAAGTCAGTATCAAAAGGGTGTGTGTATCTGTCTTATTTGCCTCCCTATGTCAATGTTATTGTTATGTGAACAACCCTCAAATAAAAGAAGACATAAAGTATATATTTATAACCGAAAGTGTCACTATGCTAGATGTGCCTATAATATTAACTGAATGATTCACTAAATAGTTCATATACATTAGGTTTATCATTCTGAGTAATCAGAAGCAGTTACCTAGATGATACTTGGTGTATGTCTGTTGTTGAATTTTACATTATTAACTAATGTGTGATTGTTAGTTTGCTGTTTATAAAGCTGGGGTTGATTCTTTTAGTTGACTTGAAGAAATGACATTGTTAAGGAAGGCGCATACTTGAAAGATATGAACTAATTGTAAGGTTGGTCATTATTTGATATTTCATTTTATTCCGTAAACTAATCTTACGAGTATTAATGATGAGTAGCGGCTAGCAGTAGGATCCAGTACGCGCGTTTCGTCGTATACAGGACTCGTTTACTGGATGTACCTGCCTCCCAGTAAGTGATGTTGTTCCCACCGCGGTTGGAACTCGGGACCGGTCTCTCCAAATACCAGAGCGTTATTCACTAGACCACCGAGCCACTATAGCCACTTCTCGTGCGACGGGTAGAGTTTTGGTGTTGTTGCTTGTAATATCCCATCGTTGATTGGACCGAATCAATCGATCACTATTGGCATATAGACTCCAGCTGACGCATCCCGAATAGGACGAAACGCGTGTACTTGATTTCACTGGTTGCCATTATCCATCGTTAATATATAGTTAAAACACAGGCAATATTGAGGTGTCCGTGCAGGAGACCATATGCCAATGGATATCGATCAATTCGGTCCAATCAACGATGGGATAATACAAGCAGCAACACTAATTTTAGGAATGTTGGCATATTTACCATCAGTTTTCAAAACTGTCTTTCTCAAAATTAAGTCACAACACCAACTATGTAGTACGTAGAACAGAATATCAGAAGTCATAGTAGGCATTGACAAGCAATATCTATTTTAAACTGCGTCTTATTTAGCTTGAAATGTTACTTCCAAGAACTACTGTTACGAACGTTGCGTTTGTGTTGTGGCATACCCATGCTTATCAGCATTTGACGAAGAAGTGTTTCAATTATTGCGAAAGTTAATTCTTACTACTACCTTTTATTTAGTAATATGAATCTTAAGTGACATGCAGGCAGTTCTAACTTTTGTTTTTAGTGTGATTCCCTGTGTTAAGTCTATTGTCTGGAATTGAAATATTATAAAACTTTTCAATTCATACGAAAGAGAACACAAAATATCGCTTCAAGGAATATATGATATTGAGATAACCAAAGGTTTTGACCTAAATCGTGAGCTAACAGAAGTTGGAAATATGGAGCATTGGACTCTGACCCAGTGGCACAATGGCAACGCGCTGGCCCCGGAACCTGAAGGTCGCGGGCTCGGCTTCTGGCGGGGTCATGGGTGCGCACTGCTGAGGAGTCCTATTCCAGGGCGAAACAGCTGTCTACTGCTCCCAGGTTTCCTTTGTTCCTCTAACTGATGTCAGTCTACGATGAATAACAACTTGAACTAAGTTGATGCCACACTACTCCGTAAGAAAGTATGACAGTGATGTAAATATCACTATGGGAAATGGAGAGAGCGCTTTAATTCTTAACTTCCCTCAGGCTAAAAAGGGTTTCGAGTGAGCGCTGAAACACCATGAAGTAGTGCTACATTGATTCCAGAGAATTATCTGCAGCCTGCTTTCGTAAAAACCCCAAGATAACAAGCAAAGGAACTAAGAACGTGGTTCAACCAAAGCATAGCTTTCCCTAATTTTGACTAATGGCATGACTTCTAGAAAAATGTCTCTAACCTACATCACTAAGACAAATGGAAATGAAATGTATAGTGAGGTGTCACTTTAATCACTTTTCTATATAATATACTTCATTGTAATTGAATTGGATAAGTAAAAGCAAAAGTGGTTTTTCGGTTACTGTGCATCTAATTTAAAGTTGAAAACATGAATGGATAATGAAGAAAATGTGTCTATCTAAAGTAAAAAATAAAAGCGTATTTCGGAACTTTGATGACCTTGACAGATATCCAGTCTGTCCGTTTTTATTAAATTCCGTCATAGGCGTTCATGTGGAGGTCCTTGTCTCCTTGTCTGACTTTACTTGTAATAAACCCGTCTCAGGAGACACTTTATTAGATCTAGACTATACAGATCACAAAATCATGGTATATACAGGTTCTTCTGGAAACATTGAGTTGCGATTTACAAATGTTTGGAGCGTGTTTTTCCCCATCCAAATGCTTGTTATTGCTTTATGACTGGTTTTCTCTGGTCCCTTGACCAATAATAAGGAGTGAAGTGGTTGGGAGTGTTAATCACTTCAGTCGCATAGGAAACTACATCGGCCTTTGTGGGCCAGCGATAGAATAAATCTTGACGTGGACAAAAAACACTCGCTTACCCTATGGCGACTTACACCATTTGTGGATCCGCCATGATATCATATTACTTACTAAGTGCCGAGTGTACTGCGCTGAAGTTCTTTCGGTCCTACTGTATATCCGTAAAACATGGCCAATAAAGGTAGAAAGTACGAGAAGGCTTCCGGCGTCCAACTTACGTAGCACAGGCGTGTGCTGTCGTGTCACCATGTCATTAACGACGATGTAAAGCGAAGGATTTTGAGCAGAGGATGAAAGTCAGCTGATGATTTTGTGAACCGTCATTGACTCAGATGGCTAAAGTGTGTGTTACACTTATCTACTTACTGTTTTCCCCGTGCAGTTTTGAAGTTGGTTAGGGTGGGAAAAGTTTACAAGTGACATCAGTCGATTGACTGTTTGTCTGATTGGTGTAGGGAAATGCAGACTACTGCGTTAGCGTCCGATTGATAACGGATATCGGTGGTTAGAGATTCTCTGCGACATGGCTCAGAATCGATGTCACTGGAGCA